TAAATAAATAAATAAATGGGAAAGAGGATAATAAAGAGTACTAATGAATTATGATTGTTATAATATTAATCTTTTGACATCATTTCTCACATTCTTGAACCTTGTTTACTATTAATTGTTGTTTCAATCTAGTGTAATTATTAATGAATCACACTAGTTTGAAGAGCTGGGAAATGCGTTCTTCGGGTTCCACTGATTAAATAAAAGCCACAATTTCTATTGATAGTAATTTTAGTTTTTAAAAAAATACCTTTAATTTACCCAGTTCAAACTGTACCAGGTTTGTGCTTGTAGGCTGTAAAAAAACTGCTGGAAACAATTTTGTGTTTGGTTCAACCTGGAAAATACATTTATCACAGTTAAAATGCAGCATTACCAGTGACACTTTGATTTATCAAAACAATAGTTCTACAATGCTTGATTGGGTGTGAGCCTGATTTAATTCAAATAGACAGAGGATTATATGAGTATATTCAATTGGAAAGTTTGCAGATACTTAACTATATGCAAATATTCACACTGTCATATCAGGACATAAACAGAAGGGTGTGTCTGTACATACCTATCATTTCTAAAGTATCCCTGTATTTCAATACAAATAGTTATTCATTCAGTCAACTGCATAGGTACAAACAGGGATATCTTCCCAATCTACATAAAACAAAGCTTTCCATCTGCTCATGTCACCAAGAGCTTGTATGTAGAATAGGTTTTATGTATTGGTCTAGAACTGTAACTTGTCACCTATACAAGACCAGATCTAACAACTAAGCCAATGATATTTTGGTTCTAGTGGCCATCTTGATGTGGCAGATGGAAGAGATGTGGAATTTATTTCCACTTTAAAAGCAGGATAAAGAAATCCTCTCCTTTTCACTGATTACCAGGATCCTGACTGAACTCCATCTACTTAAAAAACAAACCTGCTTTCATAAATTGCTTTTGTTTGTTGTTTTACCATAGCCATCTGTGTTCTCATATTATAGTAAGTTAATTGTATTCTTAGTTGTATCTGTTCTGTTTTAATTACATTGCAAGCTCTGTGAAGTCACAGATTTGGGAGAAAAGAAGCACTTAAATAAACAACAACATAAACCCAAAAATAATAATACACAAACTGGAACACTATGCAATCACATGTTGCTTTTTCTATAACATAAAATGATTTGTACCATTCTTTTAAAAATTGAAAAGCTACTTGACATTTCATTTTGAAATATCATAGTGGTCTTCATATACCAAATTACAGAAATGTGTATTATTTTGTCCAGCTCTAAACTAATACAACACAATGCACAGGATCCAAATGTGTACATGTGCTGATGGAAGAAGCAGGGTCAGCAGATCCAAATGGAGGCAATTATTTTCCACACACTACACTTCTGGATAGGTTCCACATACCCAAACAGGTACTGAAGGGGCCATTGACTTTGCAGTGGCGTCTACCGTGTGCCTAGCAGAAAACATCTGTTGTTTGGCAATGGAAATACCTTCTTGTTGAAAGGTTTGGGCAAGTACTTTTTTATCTTCTGGTAAAGATTTGACAAAGGTTGACATATTGTCCCAAAGAAAACATTGATATGCACCCAGGGCTCTCTGGTAGTTAGTGTTTTCCTCCCATTGAGTCAATCCTTCTACTGTCTTGATTTGACGTTAGGGTTTGTCGATGTCAAGATCTGGATTGTGAGGCTTTGACAAAAATAGAGTTTGGAGCTGGTTGTTTTTGAAGAAATCGAGCTCCAGGTTCATGGACTCTGTAGAGGTTATCAATTCATTTATACATAGTATGGGTAGAGGCCGGTTTTGCCCAGGGTCTTTGAGCGGTGCTAAGTGGAGACAGAAGCATCGAGGTGTGTACTGGAGTAGTTGTATCTTTAGAGATTGGGTCACATAGATGATCATCCGGTTTGTTCAAAGGATGGTAGATTTGGAGATTGAGAGACTTAGCCATATGGATCATAAGTTGGACATATCTTCTGCCGGTGATGGTGGGTCAACATCGACAAGGTCAGATTCTAGTGAGGTAAGTAATACTGATGGTGTCTGAGGTCTGGATCTGTGATCAGAATAATTGGGATCACGTCGGGAGTCGATGGATTGTCGATCGACTTCAATGTCAATAGGTTGATTGTCATAGTATTGATGTTTGTGGCTTGATGTCAATGGAGGCGGCATGTCCATGGGCATTTGTCGGTGTTGAGGATTTTCAATATTGAGAGATGTCATCCAAGTGTCAATGGACGTCATTTGAAATGGTTAAATGTTGGTGTCGAACTCGGGGTCATAATGATGTCGAGTTTGATGGCTTGGTTCTATCTGGTGACGGAAATTGTGCATCGATAGAGGGACAGAAAGAGTGCCCACGGACCAGGATGGATATTGAGGATCATCAATATCAAAGCCTGTGTCTTGGTGATGTCGAAACGGGGGTTGTTGACGAGGTGGTAAAGCAGTGGAATATATTGACACTGGAGATGCTGAGCGAGAGGAATGATTTCCCTCGTCTGGATTAGCGGGAAAATATCGGGAGGCTGGAGTTGTAAAAGCTCGCATGTAGAAGAAAATTGCTCGACCGTCCTGGGTCTTTTAGATGCCAGGTAGGGAGCAGGTTGGAGTTGATGTGGGTCATGGTGAGGTGGCCATTTTGACACCAATGGCTGTTGAGATCGAGGCCTGCCACGAGAAGGTACGGCCGAGCTGGATAGAGCAACTGGCTAATTGGTGGTTGCGGTTTGTCTGGTTGAGCGCTGGTCGGAGCAAATGGCAACCCAATGAGAGTGCTGAACACGGGTGTGAGCCACGCATGATGAAATAGATGGCTCCAGGGACTGTTGGGGCCAATGTCTCTGAGGAGGCCATGGTATGGTGTAAGATGTCACCGAATAAGGTATGGTCTGCAGTTGTTGTTCAGAATCGACTCTGTTGGGTGAAGCAACTACAGAAGGGTTGCCCAAAGGAACAGAGTGTTGAGGACTGGGAGGAGATGTTAAACGATAGACTCTGTCATCCCATTTTGGTGATTGAGAACAGGGTTGGTGAGATGGGATACCGACATTGTCAGAAGGCGAGGTGACAGAGATTGATTCGGCAGTTTGTTGAGGCTGTTAAGAAATGACTGTACCCTCTGAAGGCTCTGGAACTGAAGAGGCTTCGATGGACATTTGACATTTAGTGGAGGGCTTCAATATCGAGGATTTCGGTATCGAGTGCTTCGATGTATGGGTTATTGAAGTTTTAGACGAAGTGGACTGAGCATTGGAGTGGGATGGTGTGGTTGGTGGACATTGTTTTGAGGCTTCAGAAAGAGCCTTCTCCATTGCTTTGGTTTGTGAGGTGGCCTTACAAGGAGGTTGGACTATTTTGGTTGGTTGAAGGGATTGTTACTAAAGATGGAGTTTTAATCTGGATAAGCGAATATGGAGCACTCTGCGCTTGATGTTCTTACAATGCTGGCAGGAGGACGTCTGGTGAGCCTCTCCCAAGCAAAAAAGACACCTGGCATGGCTGTCAGAGAGTGGTATTTTGTTAGACCACACTGTGTTTAAATGGGCCCAAAGGGGCCATGAATAGGAGAAAATAATTTGAGGAGAAAAAACTATGATGGGGGGTACAGCCAGAGGTCGAGTGAAGCAGGAAAGAAAAAATCTATGATGATAATGAATTTGATCTAAAAGTTTAAAGAAAAAAATTGATAACAGGAAGGAATCAAGAATAAACTCTCTTTCCCTTTTACTTGCAGAAGCAGAATTATGAGGCTATCGACGTGGCGGTTGGAAGACACTGAAAGGGAGCCTTGACACAAAGGTACTTTGAGGGGCCTTATTCTATTGTGTTTTTTGCTACCGCAGAAGCTCTAGAACTTTCCGATGAGGATCCGCACAGGCGCGGATCACCCAGGGTGTGATTCACAGAGGCCATGAAGAAGAACCACCACAGTGCTTCCTAGGAATGGTCATTTTGTTGCTCTTTATGCTTTGAAGAACCACTACCACCAAGAAGCACTGGGAAAGTTTCCTCACATGAAGTATAGCAGCAGAAAACGAAGGGTTAGAAGAAGGCTTTGAAGAAGGCAACAGTCTCAAGTTTAAGATAATTTACTTTTGTTTCCTACTGTCGAATGACGGCTAGGACAATTCCATGGCTGAATATTAATATGCACTGTAGGCTTAGATATATGATAGTATTAATCAAAAAAATACTATTTTTTCTTTTCACAGACACAAAAAACCACCACATAATGAGATGAAATCTTTTGTTTACAATTTTGTTCTTAGATATTTTTTAACAGATATTTTGCATACAAATAATGTTCACCCTTGACTTCAATTAAAAGTGGACTATTAACTTCAAAGGAGCCTCCCCAAAGAGTGGAAAGTATTGCGAGTACATTTGGAGTCCCCTGGGCAGCGGTATACAGTCAGCTAATCCTTCATTTCCAGAAGTGTCGTACTGTGTGTTCTCTGATATTAATAAGGAAATAGAGACTTCAATCAACAATTAAGTGGCAATCTTTGATCAATCCACAGATGAAATATCTCTTCTTACTCCCAACACCGTAGGAAAATATGCCTGCACAAAGTAGCTCACAAATATTTCAGTTGTATTTTATAATTTTTCCTTTAAAAATCCCCCCAAAAAACCATTCCCATGATAACAAATAAAACAGCAAGAACAGCTGTTCTCAACAGGGATCACATGGCCATCTGGGGGGCTCTGGCACATTTGAAGGGGGCTACAGATTGAAAAAGGTGAGAAGTGTCTGAAAGATATCTGTTTCTGTTGGCCTTGGCTCCCCAAGCATGGTCTCTGTTTTCACTGGCTCAGCCTCTTACTTCTTTCATTTAAAATAACACAGGAGTGGCGGAGCAGGAAGTTTTTTCTCTCTCTCTCCTCCCCTTTTGCTACCTTATCTACACCAGGACCCTGGTCAATGAGTCCTCTTTGATTATATAGGTTGCCAGAGGGCTCCTGATCTTCCTTCCTATCCTCTTCAGCTTGGTAGACTTCCCTCAGTTGTTCCTGGGCAGCTGCCAAAGCACCATCTTCTATCTTTTCCTCCTCCTCCTCTGAGGGTCCCTGTTCTGGATCCTCTTCTTGCCTATTCTGTACTTCCCAGGCTGAGGCCTTCAAGTTCTCTGAGTCCAAAGTACCGTCTATTGCAATTGATATTGCAGTATCCACAATAGTTGATACAGCCATTCTTGTATCTAGTCTCCAACTGTCTTTATTAAAACGAATTATGAAACTTCCTCTCCTCTCCAAAAATAAGTGGCAAAGATGATTGAGAATGAAAGCTGCCAACTCTCAAGATTGTTAATCTTACCCATACCTAAAAAAACCCAGTAGCCCCTGACAGGGACCCAGAAAGGTGCACGTAACAATACTGTATGGTTGGACAGTCTCGTTAACACTTACATCATCTGACCACTGGCAAAAGAAGCAATCCAGCTCATCCCCAGAGGGGACCAAACAGTGGGACAAATATTTGTTCATGTAGTCAGGCACTCACTTGACTTTTAGATTTACAGTAAAAAGTTTATACTGTAAGTAGTTTTGTCTTCTATTGCTTCTGAAAGCAAGAGCAAGCAATGTGCATATATAGATTTCTATGTTTGGCTTTATTTTATAATACTTGGGCATCCATTTTAAATCTATAACATAGCTATACAATTTGCAAATTAGTGCTAAAAACAGCTGTGAAAAATGCTGTTTTGTTGTTATGTGCCAAGCCACCTCCGACTTATGGCCAACCCTGTGAAAGAAAAATCTCCAGCATGTTCTATCCTCAACTGCCCAAGGAGTCAGTCCATCTCATATTTGTTCCTCCTCTTTTCTCTTTTCCCGCCTTCCACCTTTCCTAACATTCTTTTCCCTCTAGAGAATCCTGCCTGCTCATGATGTGCCCAAAGTAGGACAGCCTCAGTTTCAACATTTTTGCCTGTAGAGACAGTTCTGGCTTGATTTGATCTAAGGTCCACTTGTTCATCCTTCTGGTAGTCCAGAGTATCCTGCAAAGCTCTCCTCCAGTACCAGATTCCAAACAAATCAATTTATTTTCCTGTCAGCTTTCTTCAATGTCCATGGTGATAAGAAACCCTTTTTGGATTATTTTGTTCCTGGACTTCAGTGACACATCCTTTACACTTGATTATTCTTTTTCTAATTCCTTCATTGCTGCCCTTCCTAATCTCAGTCTTCTGATTTCTTGACTACAATTTATCTTTGGAATGATAAATTGAACCAAGGCATACAAATTTCTAGCTGTGTGTACTAATATATCGATGTAAAACCAGAGTGGTAGAATCAGAAGCAGTGAGAATTCTCTGACAGGTAGACTTAATTTTAATCAACTTTTAAAAAATAGTGCTACTTCTGTATATTATTATGTACTAAATTCAACACTTGTACATTCTCCCACCATATGACACCCTTCCATCCACATACAAAATAAATCTTGTAATAATGTTCTAAAGTGTTGTCTTCATAAAGATCATACAAGAATATTTTTCTTGTTAATTACAGTTTCATGAAATGTTTACTCTAAATGCATTACACCCTGCATGAAAAATAGAATTATTATTGTCATTCACAGCTTTTGTGTGACAGCCCTGCCTGAAGTACAAAAAGGTATCACAGAGAACATCATTATAATTTCACTAGGAGATGACAGGCTTTGTCTCTAACACAGAGCTTGACAAAATTTCAGCAAAAAACTGCATTGATTCTAAGCTCAAGCTTTATATAAGCAGCCTATTATGATGGGCATGGTGGTGGATCTGAAGACGTGCTTATATTCAGATTTGGTACAAGACCCAAACAGAGATTGAGTGATGATTTTGTGATGCAATGCCATTTATGATCCATGTCACTCACGCTATAATTTCTAAACATAGGATTTGCAGCTGTATTTGTCAATCCACAAGACTTTATAGAAGGAAATTCAGAGATTTTATATTTTTCCAATAATGCTAGTCATGTGTAAGACAAAAGCTCTCCAGCAAGTGAAGGGAACACCAAATCCAACCCCTTCCCTGAAGTTGTAATTGGTGCAGTTCAAGATCTACACAATGGTTAAATCCAATTGCTAGCTAGGGCCAAAGGAAATCAACCCTGAGTGCTCACTGGAAGGACAGATCCTGAAGCTGAGGCTCCAGTACTTTGGCCATCTCACGAGAAGGGAACACTCCCTGGAAAAGACCTTAATGTTGGGAAAGTGTGAAGGCAAGAGGAGAAGGGGACGACAGAGGATGAGATGGTTGGACAGTGTCACCGAAGCAACCAACATGAATCTGACCCAACTCCGGGAGGCAGTGGAAAACAGGAGGGCCTGGCGTGCTCTGGTCCATGGGGTCACGAAGAGTCGGACACGACTAAACGACTAAACCCAAAGTAAGTCCCCTGAAGCAAGGGAATGTAAGTTTAACATTTAGCAATTGTTTCAATGGATGTACTATAGTAGGACTAGCAACTACGTTTAAGTCAACATCTCTGTGCCAGGTACACCTATGCAAATCCTTCCATATAAATCCATATTTTGGTGTACAGCTTGCTAATGCAACACAACGATACCAGGGTTCTATTTTCAAAATGTATGTTCTTTATAAAAAACACCACAGTATCTTTCATACATTATTGTTTGCATACTGAAAACACTCTGCATTAATTAGTAGTACTGAAATGATTAAAATAAAGTGTGTGTATCAAGTTGCAAAGTGAAATATTTTACACGTTTTTCTAAACATAAACAACTACATGACTTTCTCAGACACAAATTGCTTCCAAAGTGGACACCCAATGTAGTGTAGCAGACAGAGTAATGGACTAAGACTTAGAAAGCCTGTGTTCAAATCACCACTCAACCATTGAAACTCACTGAGGGTTTGGAACAGATAATACCTCTTCTTAAATATATATAACATGCCCTGAAAACCCTGTCAGGTGTCTAGAAGTCAATTCCAATTTGACGGCAAATAACAATTGAAAAAAAAACATACACTGAATGAAATCTTTGAAGTAGGACAGCAAAGCGAATCACTGATACCTTCACGAATACATTGAATCACTGATACCTGGTAGAAAGTTCCCAGCTCTCTTCCATTGGCAGTGAATGACAACATTCCTGTAACCAATTCAACGAGGCATCCAATTTCCAAATCAACATTACCACGACCTGGTCTTTGTGAATTAACAGATGCCTCTCCTCCCCAGACCATGTAGCAATTGCTGCGTTTTACACTGAAACAAAACAACCAGAACAAAGAGGGACTGTCATGTACATACAGTGGATTAGCACTTGACTTCAAGAAATAAATTGCATAATATTAAGCTTCAGGAATTTCAAACTTTCTTCACTTTGGTTCAGGTCAGTACCAGTCTACAAGGACTGGCTAAAATGCTGAAATGTTCACTTCCAAGGATAGACTGAAATATTTATTTTCAGATTATACAGTACGTTGCATATAATCAAAGGAAAAGTTCTTTTTCCTACTCAGCTGACACATGACAGTATAATTATACCACTGGTTCTTAACCTTGGGTTCCTCAGGAGTTTTGGACTGCAACTCCCAGAAGCCTTCACTACCAGCTGTCCTGACTGGGTTTTCTGGGAGTTGCAGTTCAAAAGCATCCGAGTAACAAAGGTTAAGAACCACTGGATTATACCACTTTGCTGTAAAGCCAGAGTCGAGAACTGGATTCCCAACTGTGCCTCTCAGGAAAAAGGGCCAGTCTATGTAGACTTGGGCATGATGCCCAGTCCCACAGGACCACGAAGGGACTGATGAACCAGGCATGTTTACTCAATACATAGAAAATGGAAGAGTGAATTTTGAAGAAATATATTTGAGTAAGAAAAAAGAAGTTCCTTTAATATTAAAGTAAAATTAAATACATATTTTGTTGCTATTCACTTTTTCTAATATCAGTAAATTATGACATTAACTACTTGCAGTGTGCATTTGATTTCAAATTCAAACACTATCAAAACAAACCAGGTTTCAGTTTCAAAATACAAATATAGAAATAATATAATTTAAACTTTGACTGTTCAATACATAACAGATATATCCAAACCTTTCATGAACTCTGCCTCTTTCATCTCCCAACGTAACAGTTACAGTGCAGTTCTTATTTAGGTCAAACTGTTCACTGTAAAAATGGTAGTCAGGGGTTACCCAACCAATCCAGACTGAAGATGGATCTTGACCAGCAATTATCCTCACTGAGTAGTAGTACTGAAATGATTAAAACAGAGTGTGTATATCAAGTTGTAAGATGAGAAGTTTCACATGTTTTTCCAATCATAAACAAGTACATGACTTTCTCAGAGACGCAAATTCATTCCATGTACTAACCATATAAAAATAAAGAAACATTCCTAGAATGAATATGATTGGTCTGAACCAAACTACTTTCATTTATCCATGGACAGATGTTCAAAGTACTACATAAGTCCACACAGACATGCATCAGTCTGTAGTAAGTAATGTTCACTGGACATAACTAGATCTATACACTAATCACACAAATAAAACATCAATTGCCAAAGACATGTTTCACCTCTTTCTAATGTGACAGATTTTTAAAATGCACTTATTTATTCAAAATATGTTTATTCCACCTTTCTCCTGACCCAAGGTGGCTTATAGTGTTTAAAATAGAAGCAACATTAAGAAACACTATATGAATCATGAACGTTTATAGAAACAGTCATCATCAAGACTCTTACTTCCTGCCTCAGTAATAATTGCCTTGATCACCCTTCTTTTCACTTGCTATCATAAAGATGTAATGATAGTATCCATGAGGTAACTGCAGGGCTGAAGAGGTCACTGGGGAATGGGTGGGTGGGGAAGTTTGAAAATAAAATAGAGGTAAGACCACAACATTTCTCTCCCTAATCAAAAACATGATGTGGTCCATTAATCTGGATTTGTTTGGATTAATGAAAAAATATTTTCCTGGTTTGGCTGGAAACAATCAGTTTACCAAATCAATCAAATGCAGTTATCTAGACAGTCACTAAAATAATGACTAAATACTTACTGTTATAGAATGAACTGGTACCTCCTGGTTCTGCTTTCTGGAAATATATTAAGGTTAACAGTAATTATAAACAAGGTAAAATGTTAAATAATTCCATAAAACACTGAATAATGTCCCTAGAAGAGGTCTTTTTTAAGGGTAGAAACTACAGGAATTTTTTTTCATGGAGTGAAACTAGTGCTAGACAGAATATGATGAAAGGAAAATGATGCATGAATCCTATATGTCATGTAAAAGAGAAAGATGTAAAATCAGTCTGTTCTGGAATGTCTTTCTATACCTCAGCTGTTTTAAGTAAAAATAGATATATGCTAAACAAAAAGGTTCCCAGCAGCATATGCAGTCAAACAGATAGCACAAATACAAACTTTTGAAACAAAATCTTAAGTGACACAGACTCAATTCATCCTATTTCAGTACCCCTAAATAATCAAAACAACATAGCTGAGGGATTGATATATTTCCTGTTTTTAGACAAAAACACGGGCCCCCCATAAAATCCAATACCACAGTGGGAGAAAGAGAATTTAACATCTCATTATTACAAAGAAGAACACCACTTTAAAACCTAGTTTTACAGCAATATAATATTAATATTATGGGGGTACTGCAGGTTAAACCGCAAAGGCTCTGGGCTGCAAGGCTGAAAGACCAGGAGTTCGAATCCACGTGACGGAGTGAGCTCCCGTCGCTTGTCCCAGTTCCTGCCAACCTAGCAGCCTGAAAGCATGCAAAATGCAAGTAGATAAATAGGTACCACCACGGTGGGAAGGTAACAGCGTCCCGTGCCTAGTCACGCTGGCCACATGACCACGGAAACTGTCTACGGACAAACACTGGCTCTACGGACAATTGTCAAGGGGAGCCTTTACCTAATATTAGTATTATCTAACCTTTTCTGGAAACCATCAACAAGTTCCAAACCAGTGCCATAGTTAAATGATGAGTGGAATTCAATGGGCATACTCAAGCGGCAATATATCATGTCTGCATTGCTGTTCTGTGTTCCAAATGTCTTATGGGTAACTTTTAATCGTGGTGGGCTGTCAATGTTTCCATCAATCCTTGTTACCTGAAAAAAAAAGGTCATATAAAAATGCTTATGAAAAAAGGGTGGCGGCGGGGAGAAAAATTCTACTAACCCAGGAGAGTCTGGAGAAGGTGGTCAATATGTCTCCATAGAAACACAGGGTTCAGAAAGAGGTAGAATGAGAAATATAGCTTATGGAAGATAAGTCTCAACATAAAGAATTGTAAAGATGTCATGTCTCTTTCGGCAGTGCAGTATTACCTCAATATGAGGGTGGTTTTTTGGCACATTGACAAATGTTGGTAGGCGCTTGCTAAACCACATTGCAACATCTCTATTCATGTTGACTGCAAAAGGTTCAAAGCCTTCTTGAAGACCACACATTGTATAGTACTTGAAGGCGCTAGCATCCCTTCCAAAGTTCATTCGTCCAATCTGAGACAGACCCAAAGAGCATATGGGGACAAAACCTATAAGAGAGAGAGTGTGTGTGTGTTAGGGAGTTATGGAAATTAATAGATAAAGAACTGTAAAACTGATTAAGTTAATCCTAAACTTACAGCATTCGTAGTCACACTTCAAGAATTCTCTCAGTTAAAAGAATAAACCTGTTATTTACCCTTGTAGCATATAGCTGCACTTCAGAAAGGTGCTTCACCAGAAATAATTTATTATAAAGTTGTGTATCAGCAGGTATGACTTTGTGCCAGCTATGCTGGTTGGTGTCAACTATACTGTGACAACTATACTGGTTTGTGGAAGCTATTAGTTGGGGGAAAATCTGAAATACTGTGCTGCAGGAGAATTTTACTGATACCCTAGACCAACAGAAAGATGGATAAGAGGAGTCCTAGAGCAAATCATGAGGAAATGAAGGACACTGTAGTTTTTCATGGCTCAGCATCAGATCCCTTTGACATCTGAAGCGGAGTGAAACAGGGCTGTGTCCTCACACCGACTCTATTTGGGATTTCATGCTGAAAGCACACCTTTGGAACTGCAACAGAAGGTGCCTGTCTCCAGACTAGATCAGATGGAAAGCTCTTTAATCTCTCTAGATTGAAAGTGAAGACTAAAGTCCAGTTGAAATGCATGTGAGACTTCCTCTGTCTGTCAAATACAGGATTGTTAAGTACAAGAGACAGAGCTCTGTCTGTTGTGGCATTCTTATGGAAGACTACTACAAGATGTGCACATTAATTTCTAGTTTTCTAGTTACACGTTAATTTTTTACATTTTTAGAATAGCCGCCCAGAGTAGACGTGGTCAAAATGGGCAGGATACAAATTAAATAAATAAATAAAATAAAATCTCTGTTGGGTTAAGCAATTTTTCTGTCAAGAAAAAATGTGGGATTGAGTCTAATGATTCCCTTTTTCTGACTTGAAACTTTTTTCACTACAGAAAAGTAATCTTTAGATACAATCTACTGCTGGATCATGTTTTTAATTCAACGTTATACTCCAAAGGATTAGATTCCCCAGATGCAGAGGAGTGGCATCAGGAGACAGGTATCTAGTTGTCTCATGTGCTCCCAGAGGCATCTGCTAGGGCCACTGTGAGATATAGGAAGCTGGACTAGATGGGCCCTTGGCCTGATCCAGCAGGGCTCTTCTTATGTTCTTATTCTGGCTCCTACAATAGTACCAAAACAACCCAGTGAAAGTGGAATGTCCACAGCAAAATTTGTCTTAAACTGTTCAAAAGGTCACTTTGAATTGATAAATTATAAGCAAATGAGATTCACAATGGTCACAGCTGAACTTTGACATCTAAGGTTTCAAGATAAACGTTTCATACCACCATTAAAAAAAAGTTTCTGTTACGCACTCTACTGAACAGTGAGAGGAACTAATGCTACAGTACCTCTTAATTACACGGTGGGAACAGCCCCTCTGTTAACAATAGCTTCAAGGAGAAGACTGATCAGCCCTATGATCAGAGCTCTTCTGCCTCCTGTCTAGAAGAATTATTGGAGATAGTTTCTCTGGTGACAGTTACATCAGGCATGGAGGAATAACCACCATCACAGGCTACACTTTTCTAAAGGAATGCCTGGTGCACCTCAATTTAGCTGGCCCACTGCAACTGCTGTATTTTGACTCTCTTCCCTTACCAGCTTTTACTACCTGCTTATATATGAACTGTTAAGCCCAAGTACAGGGACTTTCAGAATTGTTTTGGAAGGCACTTTGAAATTTTTTTCTCTTGAAGGAATGGTATAGTGGCTAGGAAGGAATGAAGAACAAGCAGGCCGGCAGGCAGGTAAACTGAATATGAACTGACCTCCATAATTAGCATTATTCTAAATTCCTAGTGAAATTCTTATTATTATTTCACAATTAGCATAATAATGCAGCTTACCATTATTTATTTCGAAGTCAGCAAAAGCAAGTTCTGAACCTTTGCTGGTTATGAGCAGTTCCCCATTCAGTGTAAATATCATTGATTTGTCACCTAGATTGATCATACAGCCGACTACATCTCCGGGTTGCCATGTTCTTCCAAAGAATCCACTCCCCTGGTGCCAACGTTGCCCCTAAAAATCCAAACAAGTTTAAGTATCTGTGTCAGAACAAGTTTCCTGTATCAATATTTTACCCTATTCTTCAAGTAATAGAATCCACCCAACATTCAAAACCTCCCTGGAAGACATACTTATCTGCCAGGTAGTGTAGCATAGTGCAATCATATATGTCAATATGAGATAGCTGTCTGAATTATCTTCAGAACAACAGGTGGAATCTATTACACACACACACTGGGAATAAAAACTATTGAAGTCAGTGGTGCCTTCTTTTGAGTAGGCACATACAGGATTGTGCTATTAGTCTTGAAGGTATTTTGTGTAGGTCTGTGAAGATGGAATTCCTAAAATCACACCACATGTCCATTGAATATTGAAATGCAGGTTATTTATTCGTAGATAGAAAAGGAGGGTTTCCAGCTGGAAAACAAGGATCAGCTTTTTAAAAATTTCAGAGAAAATCTTACTACAGTGAATTCCTAACTACACTGTAATCCTGGGATCATTTAAAAGGCAGCATATGTGTGACAAGAACAGATATGAATAAAAATCCTTTACCGTGGAAGGAGGATAGCCCTCCCTTTTGACAAATAGTTGAGGCCCAGTTGCCAAACCAGGCAAATCACTTGTTACCTCACACCCTAATCCAAATTTTTCAGAGTAGCTGTCTAGCAAATCAACAGACGCATTTATTCATTTATTCCTGAAAAGTTTCTTGGAATAATTTATACCAAAACACAGGAATTGGGATGAAACACAAATATACAACCCACTGCAGGTGGACTCAACCCCACTCCCTGTTTTCCTGAGGAATTAGTTAAAGCAATGAACACAGCTTCAGTACATGCTGAATTCTTTCATGTTTCAAGTTCAAACCAATGAACAAACTTTTCATCCATCACCCATTCTTAAAGAGAGTCACAAATGAATGGGAACTCATCTACTGTGCTTATGTTCACTACATAAACATAAACTATTTTTTCGTCAAAACATATGAAATACATGATGAGAAATCTGGAAAATGACTTTCCCCCATCATCTTCTCAGTGTGAAGTATTGCTTATATAATGCCTTTAAATAGGCTGGGGGGGTGGGGTGGAGAGACTATTCCCAAATATAATACAACTAGATTATGAGAATACTATAAGTATAGTATTACCATCTGAACAACATGCAAAATCAATCAGTCATACATTTCAATATTTGCTGTCAATTCCCATTTCAAGACTCATTAGAAATTCACAGTCCCTTTTTATCTCATATACTGGCAAGAAGGAACCTGTTCACATGATCATTTTCAAAGTGCATCAGCTACCACAAAAAAAAATCCCCCATTTAAATTATTATATAATAATGCAACCTTGTGAGAGTACTGAACAAGATAACCTAGAAAATGCTTACTTTCCAATCCTTTCTAGGTACTTACAGTCAGCAAAGAAATTAACTTTTCCTGCCTTACAGACTGGCCTTAGCTGCCAGATGGGTGGCTGGCAAACAAACAAACAAACAAATACATAGCTTTGTACATTTAGTTGAATAAGTCCAAACCAACATTGCCATGTCAGTAGTTTAGCCATTATTTGTTTGTTTGTTTGTTTAAATTGTTATAATGTAGAGGTAAATATACTCACTTTGCTGCCTTCAAATACAAATGCTTGGTCATCTGCGCCTAGTTCAACGTCAGGCCTACAACCTGGCCTTGCCCATCCGACACGCATATCTCCTCCTGTTACAGCTTCAAATTCAAAGTACCATTTCCCAGTCTTCACTGCATAAGATCGCTCTACTCTGAAGAAACGTATCTTATCAATGCTCACTCTTTGCACTGTATGGTCAGCTGTGAAAAACAGAAGAAAGCGATACATGAAAGTTAACTGTAACTGAACAGTACCCATTTTTGTAGACTAAAACAAAATACTGAAATTTTGAAGCCACTGTAGTTACTGCTTACTTCTTTGTTTTGTCATAGTAACCATATGCATGCATGAATAAATATTGCTATGCCTCAGAGAAACATATATGTGCCAGAGCATTCACACGCAGGAGTGAGATGCTTATCCAAAGTGAAGTGTTTAGATAGGCAAGCATGTTACAACAGCCTCCCAGAAGTGACTCATGGTCCAAATGAGATGGGCCTCCCCTTGATTTCACTTAATTGTGGCACACAATCCAATTCTATGCTCCCTGTTCTCCTGCTGTTTCCCTCCCTCCTCCTTCAAGCCAAAGTGCTTTAGGGTGAGGGACAAAATTTGCAAGCAAATGATGGACAGGTCGCTCAATGCAGGAAAGGCCCTGTGTGGTCTGTTTTCAGCAGCACCTGACATGAGAAGTTCTTCTACAGAAGTGCTGTAGATCACTAAAGTATATTACAAGACCATACATCCCCAACAAGAAGTGATATTCCATGCTGTTGCCTAGCAAGAGGCAAAATGCAGGGGGGGGGCAGTGTTTTTGCAGCCACCAAGCCCTTCCACACCCGATGGGAAACCAGGATTTTTGAGAATTTGCATAAAAATGAGAATGAGGAAAGAGGTTCTGTGGGGACCCTATCATTTGTGGGCACAGCCTCTTCCAATGCTGAACTCAGTATTTTACAAGGTAAAATTTTTGACTTGCAGAAAATGAACAGAAAAAGCAACTGCAAAATGACTTTTTCAACATGTACAGTATTAACCTAAGTATGCCTTTCAAGGACTCGATCAACTTGCAGACTCAAACACACAAAACTTTAATAGAAAAATCAACTGCAAAATGACTTTTTCAACATGTATTAACCTCCTAAGTACAGTATGCCTTTCAAGGACTCGGTGATCAACTTGCAGACTCAAACACACAAAACTGATCAAATCATGATCATGGTTTTGACTAATATGCCTGTTAAAATGAATGATTAGTAAATCTTATACATTTCCTTCTTTCTGAACACTAAACTGGATGGAAAAAGAATGGACTATATGAAACAAAGCTTCCAGTTTTCTTTCATTTCATTAAAAAAAATCAGACTGTTTTAAAAACTAATTTATGGAGCAATTCTGAAGCTGAAATGTTCAACAAGCAAGTTAAAAATGTAAATCATATTTAAAGTTTTGGGAATAAAATAAAGGACATGCCTAATTCTTGATCTGGTGGCTCAATGTTATATCCATAAGCAGCAACGGTACGAACAGCTTCTCGAAGACTATCTCTGTTCGATTTCTTAGTACGTTCATCTAATAATGAATATGGCACCAGTCGAGGATTTCGTTTGTTTTTAAGATCCTAAGGAAAGAACAGGTAAGAATGTAGGTAAAAGATATAGCAGCTGCATATGCAAAAGACTTTAGGCATGAAATAGAGTTGATTCAAGAGCATGAAGGAAAACATTCCCAAATCCACTGGTGTTGGATTGCAAAGCACAAAGGTGAATTCTGGCTGAAGTACTACAGAACACTTTATGGGCAAAGTGTTATACAGTATTATTAACCAGCTGCTACCAGCTGTTGATTTGAACTCACAGTCAGTGTGAACCAACATCTTTAAATGATAAATACAATTTACATATGATAGTACAATGATCCAATAAACTGACAAGTTGTCATGGAGGACAACTTTTTACAATGTAAGTGTATCACCCAGCACTACCACTTCATTTAAATAAGACCCTCACCCCCAAACCACTCAAACATTTTTCAACATATGTCTTTTTAAATCTACCTGCTGAATACCATAGGTCCATCCTTGTTTTATTCTGTCTTTGGCCCAGACATTATGTGCATTCTCTGCAAGTTTATCAACCAATACTTCTTGTGAAGGTAATAATTTCACTTCAGAAAGGTCTAGTGGGGCTGGCTTATAGCCATTTGACATCATATAACTGTAAATCAGGAAAAAAAATGCAGGATAACATTAGGAGCTAAAATCAGTTTCATTTAGTTTCCCAGACCAGCTAAACTTTCCAATTCAGTGTGACTGAATTGCAAAAGAAAATGGTATAATCTTGGAACCTGCAAGGATAACGACAATAGTCCAAGTTACTGAATAGCCCGAAGAAAAATATTTGCATGAAATCACTGATGTACTGTGGGAAAAAGAAATATCACTATGACCTTCAACCACATTTACAAGTTAAGATAAGAAGCCAGTTTCAGAATTCCTCAACATTTTGGGGAGACTCAATTAAATATACTAGTGAATGATGACCTTGCAGGTATGGCTTCTGGCACAATTCATAAGGAACAATAGCAGGTTATGGACCGAAGTGTATTCATGAATATAAATAACATACCCATCTTACACATGGATGTGATAAAACGTGTCAATTTGGTAATTGCAAGAGTTCAGTTAGAAGAATTCAAGTACCAAAGATATCTCAATACATGGCATAGAGATGCTGGAGTACAGTGTTTGCCCTGTACGTAATTAAATTTATATAGTACATGGAATACTACGTATGACTGAGGAATTAGCTGCACACAAGTTACAAGTTAAGATAAATATGGACTCGACTTACAAACTTAGATTCGAGTTATGAACTCTTTTTTCCCCTTTTTTAAAGCTAAGTCATCTTAGGTTAAAAGGAAAAAAGAAAAAATATCCCCCTCTAGTGGCAGAAGGCGGAATAGCAGCTTCCCATTAGTTTCTATGGACGAAAAGAGCAGATACGGATTAAATGGTTTTCAATGCATTCCTATGGGAAATGCAGATTCGACTTAAGAACTTTTCGACCTGAGAACTGCCTTCTAATACGGATTAAGTTCGTAAGTCGAGACCCCACTGTATATGGAATACTCCGTATGACTGAGGAATTAGCTGCACACAAGGACAAAGAGCTAAGACAGAAATGATCCATCAGTCACGGTTGTCCAGTACACCATTAAAATAACTCTGGGCCCTAATCATTCTGGCAACATGGATCTGCATTGTCAACATAAGTTGCCTCAGCAGTAAGCCACGTGCCTCATCCTGCAATGCCAAACATACATACTGAACGTCAAAAAGGAAAGGTAACTCTTGCAGGGACTTACAAGCACTGTTCCTAAAAGTCTGACCTTGTTCAAATCAGTCCTTATACAATGACACATTTGAATTCCAGAAGAACATTCTCCTTATGTTCATCATCCAACTCAGGATAAATAAAATATACTCAGGTAAAACATATGTCATATAAATATGTGTATTGCATTCCCTATAGTCATCTTATAAAAGAAACTCTAAATACAAGTAGGAAGTGTACAGAGAAGGAAAGGAAAGCTATCAGAGGTTAATATGATGATCTTGCACATCAATATCACTTCCACAAGTCAAACAAGTGTAACAACAGGCTGTTGTGCAATTAGCCTGAAATCTATGAATCTATATCGCAAGAAAATTTACAGTTCCAACCAGCAGTCCCCACACATTTATTAAATGACATAAAAGCAATAGAAAATCTTCTTTGTTATAAATTAGCTTACTTTTTTGGAAGCTTGATTTTCTTAAGATCTTCCTCTGCTCCGGGATTTACATGGACAATGTGACATCCAAGTGCCAAAAGGGTTCTGTAAAAAGAAAGAGCTAGTTGCAACATCCATCAGGTGTCACCGAATAAAAATGTGATTAAGTGTTGTACATAAAAAGTTTATTTGATTTGAACCTTATGATTTTGATTTCTTTTCTTTATCTCAGTCTTCACAGAAGGAGAGGAGAGAGAATGACATGAAGATGTGCCTGATAATAGTTTCTTCAAATTATTCCATCCAAAGGATTTCCTCAGGGTCTAATCAGATGCCATACGTATTTGTCTTGGGGACAAATTCTTCCTGGGGTCAGATTGGGTGGAGGGGTGCCTCTCCCTACAATCTTAGCTTTCTTGAATAAGTAATTTCACAATATTGATTCTCTGAGAGTATTTTTCTTAATTATCTGCTTATGCCAAACTTTAATCTGGATGCTTCCAATGTAATTATTATATGTGTGGATGGTTCTTGCAAAACCAAGGACCTGGTATAAAGAAAATCTTATTTCTTCCAATTTGCGCTTCTGTAAAATAGCCATCTCCGTACTTAATTTTAGATTTTGTGGAAAATTCTGTTCTACATGTTCGCATCTTGCTGTTTCCTATGTGCAGCCAAAGTTAGAAAAGTCACATTTATGTTAGAAAAATTTTAAATGGTTATACCAATACAGTACAACCATTTAAAATTGTTGCCCAACTATTCGCTTTTATAACTGTTCTTTTTTCTTCTCTGCTACTTAATTCTTTCAATTCATGCTTCATGTTCTGGATATATTTTTCCAACAAGTCCTATTGTTTAATGATTAATAGGGCCTTCTTCTGAAGGAACAGATGTGGGGTTGTTTATTACTTTTAACAATGCATTTGATATAGTATTAATACTGCACTCTCATACATGTGTACACAAAAATATGTTCCACTGAATTTAATGGGATTTACTTCCAGATAGACATCTAGAGGAATGCAATCTTGTCCTATCCACCTACAGCCAGAGGTTCATACGCTTTCACCTTCCACTAAAATATTAATATATAAATTAAAAGTAGAGAAATGTTCATGGCACAGAAAAATGAATGTTATAACAAAAATGACAGCTCAATCTCTAACTGATGGGCAGAACAGAGGAAAGGAAAATATTACAACATGCCCATTAACGAAAAAGATCAAAGGAGAATGACTGCAACTTAAGAAACAGGGAGATAAAAAGTTTTGCTTCATTGTTATTTATTCTTGTGCATAATTTAAAAAGGACAGAACATATGGTTTGCTATTGCATTTGAATAAAGAATGGAAAATCGGGGCTTTGCCTCCACCTCCTCCCCAACTTGTTTGCAAGCATATAATACATGTTATTTTAATACAACATTTAGACTTAAAACTGAAATTCTCCGCCTATTTACTGGGATGTACAAACCCTAGTTAATTTAGTGGGGCTTGTTTCTCAGTAGATTTATCTAAATGCAGATAAATAAATATAAACATATGAGACATGCTTTCTGGAACAACTGATTGTATTCAGAGATTATCATAGTTTGAGTCTAACTACTGAAATTGATAGGGCAGATAAATATGTTACAGTTAAGTCCTATCGATTTTAAATTCTCTTATCTAAGCATGATTAAGTCTAGATCCAACCCATTTAAAAATGCAACACAAAATCATCAGCTGTAAAATTAGTTTTTTCCTCCATTTCAAAACTCACTTCAAAGTTTCTGTTGACATTTGTAAGTTGTAGTTTTTCTCTGTTTCAGGCAGCTTTAAAAACTCCACTAGGCAAGGGTGCTGTCTTTTATTATCATCTCGTACCTACAATATAATTCATAAAGGAGTGAAGAGGTAATCTTAGATCAGTTTCAACATAAGAAAAATAAATTTGTTTCACTACTAAAACTTTGAGAACACAGGCATGTATACACATTCTAGAATATACACTGTATATACATTCTAGAACATACATAAAGTTCTCTAGAAAATAAATAAAAATCTGGGGAAACCCATGAAGAATGAAACATAGCAAAAGTACAAAACAAATAAAAAATGCTTACATTTCCAGGTACAATGGCCAGAATCTTATGGGCAATCTATGAATATGTAAGTCAACTCATTAAGTTGTAGTGGCAAATTGTTGCTAATTAATGGGTTGCCATTTACATTCCTGGTTGTGTGGTTCTGTACATGATGGGAAATGCAATCAGCTCCTCATTAATTAGCAGCAACTTGCCACTATAACTTCTGCAGTTTCACTGCAGTAATCTGGCCAATATATTCTTCAAATTCCTCTCCACAGAGCTTTATTTAAAATTGATATTTTAATGCATATGTATATTGATCATGTTTTTAAAGAAATTATCCCACGTTTTATATTCCCCCCACAGAATAGCTCTAAACCTGTACCTTTCCATAAGTCCAACCAAGTTCTATTTTATTCATACCCCAGAGTTCATGGATATTTTCAGCAAGCTTATCTCTGATTTTCTCAAGATGGAGAGGCAAGGCAATCTATGAAGCAAAGAAATAAGGTTTCAGCAAGATTTTTTAAAATTAACCAGCAAAATGTTTTGTGAGTCTTATGAACAAGTGCAAGTCATCAAACACACATTATAAGTGTGACATTGTACTTAGTAAAAATGTCCTGATAATACTAGATTTTAAATCAAAAATGTTTTAAATATTAGAGCTACTGTCACTTTCAACTAAACATACCTGGCTGGTGTCAATTGGAGAAGGAATAAAATTAGCTTGAGAGAGAAATTGTGTTGTGCCAAGTAAATCTCTAATTCCACCTGAATCTCTCTTATATTCTTTTACTGGCTCCAATTTCATCTTCTCTTTGGGAAGCAAAACTTCATAGCAAGGTACATAGCCAGTAGGAGGTAGAAACTTGAACTCTCCATGGCGCCCACCCATCAAGAAACGCACTCTGCACAAATGTAGATGGAGGAAAAATACCATAATATTGAGGAATTGCAATATTTACCAAAGAAAGGAAGAGCGAGAGAGAGAATATATCACATAGCAGGCCTTGATAGAAAGGCTATCATTAATGTCCTGATTTATTTTATGTATTCCCACCCAGCACCTAAATGATATAATATCCAATTCTATTAGAGAAAGTATCCATTACAAATATACTTTCTTATTTTAAATTATTATTTCAAAAGTGTTATTCAAGGAGAAAAATAAACCACAGGAACACTCAGGGCATGTTATAAGTAAATAGAATCTCCACAAATAAAATAGGATGCAATCAAGTAAATTGAGAACAAGCTATAAAATAATGTCCTACAAGTCTTCTGTCATATGTGATCAATAATATATAACTCCGTCATGTAGCTCTCTCAAAAGCAGATTTGGTACTTCTGCTTAAGACACTCGTGTTCACTGAAACTAAAGACAGAAAAAAATGTCTTTTTCTTTTCTTTGCAGAGACCTTAAATTCACCACAACAAAAGCATTACATTTAAAGTACTTCCAGAACATTTATGACTATGGTAAGAAGAAAGAAGCATTTAATAGCCAGCAAACTTTGCCCATATACTAAACAAGATGCTTTTCCAGCTGTTACTGTAACAATGTCTCAAGGCTACATCAGTACACTACACCATTTTCAGAACCATGAGCCTAAATCCAAATATAAGCTGTACAAAAAAAAAGCAGGTCCAGTGTAGCATTTGATGTTTCTATTGGGAATTAATCATAGAATTATAGAATAACTGAGTTGGAAGGGGCCTATACAGCCATCAAGTCCACCAGCCACTCACCACCTCTTGAAGTAATTGGTTCCATTGTCACACTGTTATAAAAGTTATGTTCTTCCTGATAGTCAGTCTAAATCTGGCTTCCTGTAGCTTGAGCCCATTATTACGTGTCCTGCACTCTGGGGTGACTAAGAACAGATCCTACCCCTCCTCTGTATGAATGCCATTCGAATATTTGAAAAGTGATATTGGATCTCTCCTCAGCCTTCTTTTCTCAAGGGTAAACATGCCCAGTCTTTCAGTCTTTCCTTACAGGGCATGGCTTTCCTGATCATCCTTGTTGCTCTCCTTTAAACATGTTTCAATTTGTTGGCATCCTTCTTAAAGCTTAGATTCTAGCGGTGTAATAACTGTTACCCAAAATTATTATACAGTTTTTCAAAGCATGGTTTCCTGCACTCTTATCTCACCACAAAGTGGGAGTAACATAATTGAGTCCGTAGGACTATGTAGTTCTCTGAAAGCTACACTTATTGTCCATGATGGTGGATCACTATCTGCAAGACTTCCAGAATAATAAAAGGGCTACCTTTAGCCACACAAATAACCCAGTTTTTAACACAAGCTTTTCAAGCTTCTCTGTCCTCCTTTTAAATCAGACTTTTTTTGATAAATACCAGACACAGCATATTTGTACTGGCACCTAAAATGAAGAGCGGTCTCCCTAGAGAAATGTGGCAAGTCCTTTTTCTTTGCAACTTTAATTACATTGAAAATATTTAGTTATATATATGGACTTTTAAAAAAAAATAGCTGTGCTATTTCATAAATAAGCATCTTCTTGATTGATTGTGATTCTTTTTTTATTATCTTGTAAGCTACTTTGAATATTTTCCTTAAATAATAATGCCCACTTGACTATAAAATGGTAAAGGTTCCCCTTGACATTTTTTAGTCCAATCGTGTCCGACTCTAGGGGGCGGTGCTCAACCCGTTTTCAAGCTGTAGAGCCAGCACTTGTCCGAAGACAGTTTCCGTTGCCACGTGGCCAGCGTGACTAGGGAATGCCATTTTACCTTCCCACCGTGGTGGTACCTATTTATCTACTCGCATTTGCATGCTTTTGAACTGCTAGGTTGGCAAGGAGCCTGGGACAAAGCGACGGGAGCTCTCTACGTCGCGTGGAAGAGATTTTACGACTCCTGGGCTTCTGACCCTGCAGCACAGGCTTATGCGGTTTAGAGACTTAATTAAACACACAGAGATCCCTTTAGCACTGTGTCTGAGTACTGCAAAACATTGCTTCATAGGAAACACATAGGAAAGTTTGTTTGCAGGATAAACTCAGGCTGTCTCTACCAAGGAAACTATTATGTAACCAGTTGTGACATTTTTGTCACTTATTTTACCCATAGTAACTCTTTTAATTCATGCATGTAACCATGCAGCAGAATATAGTATCATGTTGTTAGAATACTAGCCTTGAACTACAATTATTGTTTCTCAGCTCACTTCATGTTGTCTACTTTGTCTGACAGAAGCAGATGAAAATTCTGTGCTTTGTCAGTGTACTTAGATACACAACCACAAACACATCAGAGAGTTTTGCTCAATATTGATACTAACCAGAAACAAAAATTTTTTTTTGGGAAGGACAGATAATCTTAAAAATGTCAGCTTTCTTAGCGGAAATCACGGTTTTTAGCAGAGTAATTGGTGGTTCAGGCAGTCCAGGAATAACTCACATATAGTCCAGCAGCATTTCCTTCAGCAGCGTGTATTTACAGCAATATTTACAGCAGTCAGGCAGCATAACGAGTGGATGTGATCCTCATGCAGGTGAAGATACAACTAACTGTACAATCCATACATATATACATATACAGAACCAATCAGGTTACACATTACCTCATCCCTGGGTTGCATCAGCCCTGGATTACATCATCTCTGCTGAGTCATCCTGACTCAGTTTCAGCACACCTGATCATCATGGCTTCTCATTAATACACTCCATTCTGCTCAGGCCTGCAATTTTCCTTGACAAAAAATCTTAAACTGCATTGCTAGAAGGGAGCCTATCCATCATCAAGTCCAGCCCCTTCAAGGAGGTCCAGTGGCAAATTATACTCCAAACCAACCCACTGAGCTATGCAGCAGTTTGTGTTCATATAGATTATAACAGTGAATACAGATTATCATAAACCCAGGATTAATATATTCTCAATACCTTTGAATAGCTAAACAAAAACATGTACAACACACCTTACATTAGCTATGTTTTGAAATTGCTATAACTTTTACTATATTGAGTAGAGGATAGAGTCATGACATTTCCCAGTACGGAACATCGTGCCACAAAGAAGTTTAAGATTTTATACCACTCTCAGCAAATTCACAAACCTATTATTATTATATTGTGTCCAGCATCTGAAATTTAAAGCAAATGTTATGCATAGAGTCTATAATAGTTCTACAGATTTTGGAAGCCAACCTTTGTATGCCATCTTTAGAACGAATTCTTAGCATTACAAAAACTGAAGCTTTTGCTGCATAGTACTTTGCCTGAAGCCATTAAGCAAAACAAAAAAAAAACTGTAAAAGTTATACGTTAAAAGGTTTATTTCTATAAAAAAAGAGCACAATTCAACCCTAGTTTTTGTATGCATATTATTAAATAAATCATGGAAGTGAAATAACTCTACCTCTTTCTAGTATTTATGTCGAGACCATTTAAAATCAAAAATAAATCAGCAGTAAAATATAAAATAAAAATGAAGATACAACACATTGTTTGTCAATCATCAGGAGAGGGCTTTCTCTCTCTTCCACCACCTTCACAGGTGTGTCTGAGGTGGACACAGGAGAGAGCTTTCTCTGTTGCTGCTACCAGACTTTGGAACTCCCTCCCACAGGAGGCCAGGCTGGCCCCGTCTTTGCTGTCCTTCCGCAAGCAGACAAGGACCTTTCTCGTCAGGCAAGCTTTCCCTCAGTAACCATATACTGTACCTATGTATGAATTTTATACAGATTGATACACATTACCACTTTGACTGGATTGTTAGTACTACTTGTGTTTTCCTTGCAGAGTGACATTTTAAAATGTTTTTGTATACTTATTGATCTTTGCCTTAATATTGCTTGTTGATGTAAGATGCCTCCTTATGCATTGTTCTTGTGTGAGTTTTAGATAGATTGTTATGCATTTGACTGGACTGCTTAGTACTCCTTGTATTTTCATCTCGGAGTGACTTTTTAAGAATGTTTTATGCTTATTGATCTTTGCCCTAATATTGTCTGTCAATTGATTGATGCCTCCTTATTCATTGTTCATCATTTTGAAATATTGCTTTTTAATGTTAACCGCCATTATATATTCATTGTTTTCAACTTTAAATATTGCCCTTCATTGTTGTAAGCTGCCTTGGATCCTTTTGAAGGAGAAAGGCGGGGTAAAAACATTTTAAATAAATAAATAAATATCAGGCACAAAACAAAACAATGTTGTTTTATATTTTAATATGAGCTTTCGTGGACAAATCCACTTCCATTAAACAAAATATTTGCCTGTGTGCTTTTGTAGCAGATCTGAAGTTGTGGACAAAATGATACAGGGAAACATAGCCCTTCACCTTTACTTTAATTAATAAAAGCTTAGGTTTTGAAATGCCATTAAGACTGGGGGGGGGGTTCACCTGCAACACTGATAATTGTATAATAAAAATAGCCAACCAGCAGTGGTTTTACAGAATTTTTTTTCATGTAGGAAGCTGTTCCTTTATTATACAGTAACTCCTGTGTGATTATATCTACAGTCACAATAACAGGTTTAATTAGACAGACAATGTTAAAGATCTTAACATGGAGCTTATTTCAGACAAATGCCTTGCTTTGTGGAAATGACATGACAAAGGTACTAGCTTCAGTGATAACAAATGCATGGATCGCCCCTAAGGATGCTTTAAATACGGAAAGCCAAAGGCACTCTGCCACAGGGCTTAGAATGACAACAAACTGATTTATCCAAAAGCTCTTAAAGGCCCTGCATTCATTCTCCTTGCCTCTAGGATTCCATTCCTTTGAGGCCTACATCAGACATTATTTACAAAATCTCTTAAAATCACCTCTTCCCTCTACAGCTTCTTCTCTTTTTTAAAGTATGTTTCTCCCTCTTTAATTGTTTTTCCAGTCTGGTAAGTACTTGCTTAAAAACAACACCAAAATTTTGTATTCATTTCTGAGATTCATTTTCATTTAAATCACAGTTTGTATGTATGTATGTATGTATGTATGTATGTATGTATGTATGTATGTATGTATGTATGTATGTATGTATGTATGTATGATGTATGTGTGTGTGTGTGTGTGTGTGTGTGTGTGTGTGTGTGTGTGTGTGTATTTCTTTGTTTGTTTGCTTGCTTGCTTGCTTGCTTGCTTGCTTGCTTGCTTGCTTGTTTAACTAGCATCATCCCCCATTTTGACTCTGCAATAGCATCCTGAAGCAAAAAGGTATTAAAAACAACAAGCAACCAAAACCAACACAATACAGAACAACAGCAATAGCAAACACGAATAATTAAACATCTCAAATAAGCAACATAGCCACCTGCATAAATTGTGGTTTTCATAATTGAAAACTATATCTAATCAAAATGTTTTTCATGAACCCTTGAAGTCATTTAAAGATATAGGATGTAACATAACCTGGTTGTTTCTACAAAAAAGGTCCTTCTCATTACTGTGCCCCAGTACAGTAATAATGTATACTCCTTATATGATCAAATGCAGGACATGCTGCAGAGCCTTTCTTAAAGACTTAGGTATGTGAGTCAGGTCATCTTTAGGAAGGAAGGCCTTCTGGTATCCAGATTCTTAGCTGTTGAGGATCTTAAAGGCCAAAGTCAGCCTTTAAATTGGCCTGGGCATAAATTAGGAGCCAATGGAGTAAAGAACTAGGAATAGGTTAGCTAACGTCATAGTGCTAGCTGGATAGTTCAATGGTTTTGTTATCTGGCTGAAGAGCCAAAGAGTTCAATTTCCCACTGTGCCTCCTGTGAGTAAAGCCAATCTGTGTCGCCATGGGCAAGCTGCCTCAGAAGAAGGGAATGGTATGTCTCTTCTGGGCATTCCCTACCTGGAACCCCCTGAAAAGGGTCGCCATAAATCAGAATTGACTTGGTGGCATATGGTGATTATTATTACAACCTCACAGAAGAGTTCCTGCCAGGCAGAATGAATTAACAAGGAATTTCCATTTCCATCACTTCAGATGTATCACAGTAATTTATCCTGGACAACATTAAGACATCTATCAGAGGGCCAAGACTGTGCCTTTCATACACCAACCGAAACTGTTTGACTGCACTGCTGACCACAGTAACTAGTCATTTATTGAGAAACAAAGCTAGACTGACAAACCCTTGCAAATTATGAATATACTCCTTCAACAATGTGGGAAACATACAGAACTGCTGAAAATCTATATCCAGCTAATAACCCTCCATTTTTATCACTGAAACAGATATTTCCTTGAAATTACAATTCAAGTATGAGAATTTGGTGTATCATGTTCACTGACTGTCATTTTGAGAACCTGTTTTATGCCTCTTTCATAACTTGCCAGATACAATTCCAAATAGGATTGTCTATGCTTTAGAGGACCTTGAGTAGTCATATAACAAGATTTTCTGTTTCCTCTCATATTGTCCCTTTGCCATGAAATAAACATTTCTTGATCAGTGCTCAGAACTGGAGAATGGTGAATTTGAAGGTTGCTGAAGCACACAACAGGTTCTGATGTGAACTCTGGACTCTAAGCTAGGATTCTCAGAGATGTTTCCCCTGAGATCAGTTTTACCAGAACAGCCAAAAACAAAAAAACAAAAAAAACCCCTCTCTACAAAGCCTTGCAACAGTGCACCAGGCACAAAGGTTGAGAAGGCAGTGATAGGAATGTTTACTTTCAGGCCATTGGATAGTTCTATTAAGAAACAGCTCTCCTCAGCAGAACAAAGCCAAGTCAGCTCAGTGGTGAAACTTAGTTTTTCACTCCTTCAAATATCCAGGTCCAAGCCATTCAGAGCTTTGTAAATCACCATCAACACCCTGAACTCAGATGGGAAGCACACTGGTAGCCAAGGCAAGTTCTTCAGAAATGGTATCATTTTAGTTCAGAAGGATGTTCCTGCTCACAGTCTAGTTGCTACATACTGCACCTGCTGCAGTATCTGTGTCATCTTCAAGGGTAGCCCCATGTAAAGTGCATTGCAGTCATCTAACCTGGAAATTATGAGGGCATGGACTACTGTGGCCACGTCATCCCTGGCTAGGGGTGGCTGTAGCTGGTGGACCAATCAAAGTTGACTCCAGATACTCCAAGCCTCTGCGCTCACATGAGTCTCCAGTGGCAAAGATCAATCTTGGAGTACTTCAAACTATGCACCTGCTGCTTCAGGTGCAATGCAACTGCACCCAGAACAAGCCTCCTACTCACTCCTGGGATTGAGAACCAGCAAACTACAGAACCTCAATCTTGTTGTGATTTCAGTTTATTGGCCCCCATTCAACCCATTGCAGCCTCCAGACATTGGTCCAGCACCAGCACAGCCTCAGTTTACCCCAACAATAAGAAGAAATGGAGCCAACTGTTACCAGCATATTGATGGCACCCAATCCCAAAACTTCTAACAACCTCTCCCAGCAACTTCATATAAATATTAAACAGCATGGAAGATAGAATGGAACCCTGCAGTGCCCCATGGCTTAATCGCCATGGAGGTGAACAGAAGTCCCTCAATGCCACTCTTTGGAACCAAAGATAGGAATGGAACCACTGTAGTTCAGTGCTCGCACTCCCAATCCACAGAGCTTGTCCAAGAGTTTAATACAATGACTGATGGAATTAAAAGCCACTGAGGGATCCAGAAGAATCATCAGGACTGCACTCCTGCTGTCTTTAGTCCAGAGCAGGTCATCAGTAGGGCAACTAAAGCAGTTTCAGTACTGAATCCTGAAATCAGACTGAAGTTGTTACAGATAATCAGTTTCCTACAAGAACATCTGAAACTGACCAGCTATTGAACGTTCAAACACCTTGCCCCAAAAGCATAGATTCCCAATGGGGTTGTAGTTGGTAGAGGTCCAGAGAGGTCCTCTTTAGGACAGAGTGCACCACTACCAGCAGTAGACATCGTCCGCTGCTGTAACAAAGCATTACCACCTCCTGGACACACCCAGCCAATCCACACCTCCTAGCAAGGGTCAAATATACACGTAGTGGGACAGACTTATCAAGCATCTTGTCTACATCATTGGGCCACAAAAACTGAAACTGATCCCAAAAATGTTCTCCTCAAAGTGTCTAGCAAACTTCTCACAGTAGGTGACTGAGGGTTCCACTCCTAGCCTTTTCGAATCTGCTCCCAAGAAGCTCATAAACATTATGAACAATTCTGCTGGGTGGCAAGTGGAAAATGAAATAATATTAGCAAAGTAAACCTTTTTACTCTCTTAACTGCAGCACAGTAGACAGAATGAGAAGTCCTCAGAGAAGAGGCTGTTATTTTGTTTAAAAAGAAGGTAGGAAATGAATCATTTCTAAAATTAGTTCACATATTAAAAATTATATTATAGCTTGAAAATGGTAACACAACTGAAGCTCAAATGTATTTTTCGTATTGTTTTATGCAACTCAGCAGGAAAACACTAGCCACCACAATTCATAACTGTTTGTTATCTTATTGAGAAGAGAGCCTGACTTCTTGTTAATGCTGCCATGAAAGAGCTCTGTTAGTGCCAGACAAAAATGTGTACGTGCAGACACTTGTCTGTTGATAAATGACAGGGACCTACATCATTTCACATAGGTCTTGAAGAACATCACTGAATAATAGTGATTCCACTCAGTGTCATCCTGAAGAACTATGGTATTCTTGACACTTCTTGTATTTTATTTAAGAAGTGTCAAGGATTCCATAGCTCATTTTCCATTATCTACGTACATCTCAGGGCTTCAATTTAAAACTGTTCTCCTTTTTAGAACTGGCAGTTCCCAACTACCTCAGAAATACAACATAGTGAATGTATGTGGCAGTATTCAATGTAACAGCTTGACAAATCACATGAAACTGGAAAGAAGAATCTACTTACTTGACACCTGCCGAGAAGCTCACAACAGGGAAAAAAAGTCCATCGGTGTTAAAATTTTCAAACATTCCTTGCACAGGCTGTCCATTAATACGGAAAGAAATGCTGGGTGCACCTAAATCTAAGCAACAGCTGACCACATCATCAGATGCTAGTAAATGTTGATTGACAGATGCAACCGCTCTGGGAACGCGACCTAATGAGGAAGCAGTCACCGAAAGACATGTTTTCTATTTCTTTGTAGCATTTCAAATTATATTATTTTCTTTCAGAATCAAAATATAGGCTTGCCCCTTTATCTCTCCTGCAAATGTTCTTAGTTTAAGTGTCAACTAAATCAGATCATTTGAGCAATGCTCAAAGATGATATTTGGCCTGCTTGTTCAGCAAACCAAACAAATTCACACTTCTTGGGGTAATGAGTAGATTGTAATGCAGTTAGTCCTTCAGACTGTATGTCTTTGAATGTTGCAATGCTGTATTTGGTTCACCAGAGCAAATTTTAAGCAGAAAAATACAAAAATATTTTAAGAGGAACACAGCTTCAATTTAAATATGAATCTTTACATGTTTATTTTTCTTTTACTCTTCAGATTGCTGCAGAAAATGTGGATAAATAAATGGGCCAGATATAAAACGGTTAATTCATCCCCTAATATATTAAGCCAAACTGATAACGGAAGTTACAAGAACTCATTTTCAGCAATCTCACATATAAAGTAGACCTCATATTTCAAGAACTGTAGGAAAATGAGCATTAACATTGTTTCAGTAGTGTGTGAAACATTCTCAGGTTCATGAACAATACTTTTACATATGCAAAACCCCAACGTTTAGTGTGATACCACTTCATTTTTTATTATCTACATCCCATAATGCTCCACGCTGCTTTCTAAATCTTCTTAATTAAGGATGAATATCAAATACATTCTTCGCCTGCAAGAATGTCTCTAATAAGTATCAGAGCAAAGGAGTGCCTTTAAAAAAATTGCATATTGCAAGTCTAATACAAAGAAAATTCATTATCTTCATTCCTGTTGTTCAGTTTTAAATAGCACAGACTAAAGGCTCAATTCTCCATTTGATTCAATACTACAAAGGAGATCTGCTACACAACTGCTATGAATTTAAACCAGGCCTGCATAAGAATACAATTTAGTGGCTCATAACCAAAGCCCTTGAACAAAACAAAAACAAAACAGAGACTGCCTTGACAGTTGTTGTGGGTTTTTCCGGCTCTTTGGCCGTGTTCTGAAGGTTGTTCTTCCTAACATTCCAACAGTCACTGTGGCCGGCATCTTCAGAGGACACCACTCTGTGCTCTGGTGTAATTGGCTTGGGAGGGGAGTATTTATGGCTGTGAGATGGGCTTTTGTCTTTTTCTGTAGATAGGTGATTAGTGTGTCTTGTTGTGGGTGTACTGTTGTGCTAAGGAGAAGAAATTATCTGTTCCTGTGGTTGATGGGTGTCATTAGCTGGTCTTTTGTGTGTAGTGATCCCCGGTCCTTGTGGCTGGGTAAAGTTCGTTGATCTTTTGCACGCTGTATTTTTGAAAGCTGGGAGCCAAGTTTTGTTGATTTTCAAACTTTCCTCTTTTTTGTTGACATTTTTGCTGGTGCTTATGGAAATCCACAAGACCAGCTAATGACACCCATCAACCTCTGTTGGCCAAATTCAACTGGTATATAACCTGTTTCCCCGAAAATAAGATAGGGTCTCATACTAATGTTTGGTCCAAAAAACACATTGGGGCTTATTTTCAGGGGATGTTTTATTTTTTTCATGTGCAACCATCTACATTTATTCAAGTGCAGTCATGTCATCTTATTCTGGTTGCTGCTCAAGGGCAGAGTTTCACTTAACTGGGGCTTCTATTTCGGGTACGGCTTATATTACGAGCATCCTGAAAAATCATACTAGGGCTAATTTTCAGGTTAGGTCTTATTTTAGGGGAAACGGTACAATTGTTCTCAGCAATGAGAGAACCATGTTGTATCTGCCTGCTATATACATACTGTATAAAGATGAGATGCCTCTTGGATAAAAAAGATGTGGCAACCCAAGTTCATCACTGACATGTTTTAATATACACGGGTTCAAACTCAGACTTGTCACCTTCTGTCAGACTTGTCACTTCCACTTTCAGTTTCCATGGCATCCAATTTCCTTTTAACTCTCAAATTGTTACCTTTCTAAATATGAAAAAATCTACAGATGTTTGGAAAACTCTAAAATCAAATTGAAATGAAATTCCCCTCCCATCCCCAGTGCAAAACGTGGTCCCCAGGGAGTTTTGAGCAGAATGAGCACTATACGCACCATCCAACTCAACATTTCCTATCCAGGATCTAATTCTACAGGCACTAAATTTTCACCTATTGATATTTGAGGACCAAAAGGGTTGGTATTTGAAGAAGCTAAAGAATTCTCTTTACAACATACGTGTTGACATTCACTTTGCTCCTATATTAAATCAGCTCTTACCAGACCATAGATGGAGTCCATCAAAGCCATAGGAATATAGGTCATCACCAACACCATTGCCTCCCCATCCTTCTCCACCTCCAGGATAAGGAGCATAGCCCGAAGTTGAAGCCCACCCAACTCGTAGATGGGTAGGTTGTGCCGTTAAAAAGGGGTCTACATGATCAATTATCATTTCAAAATACCATTTCTTATATTGTGCTGAACCCTCAGCAATTCCAAGAAATATGTTTGGTCTCATGCTGCAAAAGAACAGAGAACAAATAATGTACAAAATGCACTGTAACTACATCTGTGCCTATTGTTTGCCAAATGCTACACTTCAAAACATATTCTATAACATGAAATGGTAATAAATATCAATAAGACTAATACATTAATGCAGATTAGGATAAAATTGGTAGGGAAATCATTTAACAAAATGATACTTAATAGATATTTAACAGTAAAATTATTTAACAGTTTCAGGATATAGCGAATGTCTTTATGAGGAAATAGTGCTTGCTAATCTTGACATGAGTATGGCTTGTCTTGAATAAATGTACCCTGGACCTTGCTGGCCAATTGCAAATACTTCACTGCTTCTTCTCACATCTACCTCACCCTGAAGTTTTTGCTACCATTAACCCTGGTCTTCTAGACCATCTCTGTAAGATACATACTGGATGATCTGTATTACAGAGATACCAAGCTTATTTGCAGGGCTGTGTCTAGGAAAGGAGAAGACTAATACAGTGAAAGGGTGCTCTTTGGACCCCTAGCATCTGTGTTATGGGATGTCCTAGAGAACCATTCTCTACCTACCTGTATATAGGTTTACGTAAAACCAGGTAAAGAGATCATTCAGTGATAGAGGACAACATGTCATCACTATGCTGGCAATACTGCACCATTTGTCATGACAATGAATCAAGTAAGGCCACAATGGCCCTGGACAATGCTTAGGTAACAGTATATGCAAAGAACTGAGCTTCTATCTTGACAAAATAGAAGCACTATGGATGAGTGCCTAAGACAGGCTAATAGTCTGGTTTAAAAGGGCTGCACTCATTCTGAACAAAGAGGTTTACACTCTGAAAATGTTGCTGGATTAATCATTGTTACTCAAGGCTCAGTGGACCTCAGCAACTATGAGCTCTTAAGATTCAGCTGATTCAGCAGTTGCCCTGAGCCAGGATAGGAAGACAAGCTGATTAAGACTGGACTGGGAACTGCAGCTGGCACAGTTGTCCATCTCCAAATTGGAATGGATAGTCAACAGCACAGAACATCTCTGCTGAAGGATCTGTACTGGCTGCTCATATGCCACTGAAAGTAAGGTTAAAAACAAAAGGAAAATAAAAAATAAAGAAGACAAAAATGTTGTGGTACCTTAAGGACTAACTGCTATGCCTTAAGGACTAACTGCTATGATTTAAGGTGTTGACAATAGTGTATAAAGCCCTGGACAACCTAGGCCCATACATCCCTGTCTGACTACTTTGTTCAACCATGGAAGCTATATTAAAGTACCACATACCACATGCCTCGAGTCTGCAAAAAGGAAGCTATTTCACATCACAGCACAAAGCTTAAGGGAATCCTTGCCAATTAATATTAAGCAAGCATTGTCTGTCCAAGTTTCACTCACTTGCATAGAACAGTTACAGTAACCTTTTCCTAATCTCTAAAGCAGCCATTTTTTCCAAGTGTTTCTAGTGTGAAAGCCGACAAACACATTGATAACCCTGCACCATGCGACAATTGTAAGAAAACTTCTGCCCTAAAGTTGGGCACCTGGAATGTTCGGACCCCTGGCTTTTCTGATGACCAGGAAATAGATGACATGCGCAAGACAGCTGTCATCAACATGGAACTGAGTAGACTGCAGATGGACATTGTTGGCCTGCAAGAGACAAGATTGCCAGACTCTGGATCTGTCAAAGAAAAAAACTTCTCAATCTTCTGGAAGGGAAAACCATTGAAATGAGACCAGAGAATATGGTGTTGGTTTTGCAGTCAGTAATATTCTGCTGAGATCCATTGTTTCACCTACTGTAGGGAGTGAAAGAATCCTGTCTCTGCAGCTCCATTCATCAGTGGGACTGGTCACCCTCATTAGTACATATGCACCAACACTGGTGTCCGTAACAGAAGTCAAAGACAAATTCTACGATGATCTGGCAGCTACTGTCAAAAAAATCCCTGAGAGCAAGCCACTGTTCATTCTTGGAGACTTCAATGCTAGAGTTGGTGCTGATCACAATTCTTGGCCCACTTGTCTAGGCCATTTTGGCATTGGGAAGATGAACGAAAATGGCCAATGCCTGTTGGAATTTTGCTGTTATTATGGTCTCTGTGTCAGCAACACGTTCTTTAATATGAAGCTTCAACACAGAGTTTCCTGGAGACATCCAAGATCAAAGCATTGGCATCAGCTCGATTTGATCCTCACTAGATGTTCTAGCCTTCCTAGTATTACGATCACATGCAGTTACCAGAGTGCTGATTGCGATACTGATCACTCCCTGGTGTGTAGTAGAGTAAAACTGCGAACAAAGAAATTGTATCACATGAAAAAGGAAGACCACATATTGACAACAAGACTCACAATAAAAGAAAAGTGGAGGAATTTGCCCAAGCGCTTCAGGAAACCCTTCCAAGCCCAGCTGATGCAAATGCACCTGAATGATGGGAACATTTCAAGAATGCTGTTTATAACACCACCCTCTCCACATTTGGCAAGAAGACCAAAAAGATGGCAGACTGGTTTGAAGCCCATTTGGAGGAATTGATACCAGCCAGTGAGGATAAGAGGAGAGCTCTAGCAGCATACAAAGCCTGTCCTAGTGAGTACAACTTGCAGGCTCTTTGACTTGCTTGTAGCAAAGTCCAACAGGCTGCCAGGAGATGTTCCAATGATTATTGGTTTCAGCTCCGCTCTCAGATACAGATAGCAGTGGACACAGGTAACAACAAGGGAATGTATGACAGTTTCAAGCAGGCTTTAGGTCCAATACAGAAGAAATCTGCTCCCTTGAAGATTGCTACAGGCGTGATCATCCAGGACCGAGCACAGCAGATGGACCGCTGGGTGCAGCACTACTCTGAGCTATATTTCAGAGAGAATGTAGTAACCGAAGAAGCAGTTGGACAAAAGAAGAGTTGGACAGTGAACCAACTTTAGCAGAAATAAAAGCAGCCTTGGATTCCCTCACCTTTGATAAGGCAGCTGAGAAGGATAACATCCCTGTTGAAGTGCTGAAGTGCTGAAAAGAGATCATCACCACTGAGCTGTACAAAGTCTTTCATCTATGCTGGAGGGAAGGTGGAGTACCATAGGACATGAAGGATGCAAACAGCATCACATTGTATAAGAACAAAGGAGACAGGGGCACCGCATCTCTCTTATCAGCATTGTAGGGAAGCTGCTTGCCCATGAAGAGACTCCAGGTCCTTGCAGACAGTCTATCCAGAATCACAGTGTGGATTTTGAGCAAATAGATCCTCCACTGACATGGTATTCTCCCTCCAACAGCTTCAGGAGAAATGTAGGAAACCACAATAGCCACTCTTTGTGGCCTTCATAGATCTCACAAAGGCCTTTGATTTGGTTAGCAGGGATGGCCTTTTAAAAATACTTCCCAAGATTGGATGTCCACTTTGACTCCTTAACATCATCAGATCCTTTCTTGAGGGAATGAAGGGCACTGTAGTTTTTGATGGCTCAATATCAGGTCCCTTTGACATCCGAAGTGGAGTGAAACAGGGCTGTGGCCTCGCACCGACTCTGCTTGGGATCTTTTTTGCTGTCGTGCTGAAGCATGCCTTTGGAACTGCAACAGAAGGTGTCTATCTCCAGACTACATCAGATGGAAAGCTCTTTAATCTCTCTAGATTGAGAGCAAAGACCAAAGTCCAGCTGAAATGCATGCGGGACTTCTTCTTCGCTAATGATGCAGCTGTTGTTGCCCAGTCTGCTGAAGGGCTCAAACAACGCATGAATCGTTTTAGCAAGGCCTGCTAAGACTTTGGATTAATAATCAGCCTGAAGAAAACACAAGTTATGGGCCATGGCATGGACTCACCTCCCTCTCTCCACACAAGGAGGTTGTTCGTGACTTTGGGAACCTTCCAAAAGATCTCCTGTATGGAGAATTAGTGCAGGGAAATCGCCCCAGAGGGAGACCACAGCTGCGATACAAGAATATCTGCAAGCGGGATCTGAAGGCCTTAGGAATGGACCTCGACAGATGGGAAACCTTGATATCTCAGCGCTCAGCCTGGAGGCAGGTGGTGCATCATGGCCTCCCCCAATTTGAAGAGACACTTGTTCAGCAGGCTGAGGCAAAGAGGCAGTCCCTAAACCAGCAAAATCAGGGAGCTGGACAGGGGATAGATTGGATTTGTCTTCAGTGTGGAAAGGATTGTCACTCTCGAATTGGACTTCTCAGCCACACTAGACACTGTTCCAAAACCTTTATTCAGAGCACATTACCATAGTCTCTCGAGACTGAAGGATGCCTAATCTGGAATCTACTGTTGGCTATCCCTGTTCTAATCCAAATTAAGGAATCTAGTGTTGGCTATCCCTGTTCTAATCCAAATTATTACATTCTTCAGAATTTGGATTGCTTCCCACTACAATACTTCTTATGAACTGAATTGTATTTAAAGTGATAAAACCGACAACAAGACTCTGAAGAATATGATACAGATTGATATTACTAGCCATTTCATGTTACAGAGATCTCTTATTCAACAACAGCTAACAAATAAAATATGCTCTAGATAATTTATATATGCAAAGATACCTGGTCACATCATTTACCAGCCGTGTTTGCAAAAGCAAATCTCTTCGAGGAAGAAGGTTGTCACAGATAAAGTTCTGATTAGCACGCACTGCTACTCCATTACAGAGGCAGAGGGAGCAAAGGACATCTAGAACCTAAAAGATATTATTAGAAGCGGGTCTTAGAAGCATCAGTACTGACCACAATACTGACTAAACTTATTTATTCTACTGTTATGGCCAACTTATAAACTTAAAGTGGGGAGGAGTAAAGCCAGCCACATACACAGGCCCAACTCCCCACATATCTGCACACAGAAGCTCCACCTCTCGCCTTTATGCATTCAGAACAAAGGTATAAAGAAAGATTTCAAAGGATAAACCAGCAAAATGATCTTTGTGATCCATCATTTTTTCCTACTATACTGTGGTTTATTTAGAGATACATGTCTCAACTTTCAGACTTGGAAATTAAGCCTGTGTTTACCACACAGTAACCAATCACAGAACAAAGCTAGCTAGAATATGACACATGGTGGCGGCAGAGAAAATATGCTATGACAAATACAGATCTTTCATCACTTTAAGGTAGTCCTGTTTCTAATGACATGTTATCGTTATCCCTTAGTTTGATCCTATGTATTTTCAGCTAAAGGCACTTTAAAAGCTTAGCATGATTGGAAAGTCGGAAAATACATGAACCCTAAGAAGAAACTTTTTAATCCCTCCCATGCATCCTTTTAATTGCAAAATACACACAATTCAAGTGCTGTGTCCCCCTGCACAGGGATGTAGGAGCAGGACATTGATGCCATAAACTCAGCCAGATAACTGAATAGGGCTTAGATGAAACAGCACTCAAGTCCAAACCTTTTCATATCTGTAAAATTAGTTAAATGTTGGGATCCCATTCTATCTGCAATGCAGAAAATACATACAATTTCTCACAGTTTCACTGTGAAGCACCTACTGCTTTGGAGTTGCTCATTACATATGTATATTTCACCATTCAGACTATAATTCTATATCTACTTACCTCGAAGAAAATTCCTAAATTCAATGGAACTTGTATCTAAATACAGGGTTGTGCTGTGTATCTCCTATGAATCGGCAATATGCCACATAAAGAGCCAGGACAAGACATTTTGTACAAATAGGAACAACAGCTGTCCATTTATAAATGGGGTGTTAGACCCAGAAAGGCAACTTTCCCTTAACTGGCTCTTCTTCCTTTGTTGTAGTTATATGGCTTATTAGCACCAGCAATGAGCACAACTTAAGCTAACCAGCATTTTCCTTGAAGAGTGGTAGCTGTCTTAGTCTCTGCAAGCATATCGGCAAGAAACACAAAGCAAAACAGAAAAAAAAACATTAAAAAAATATAGGATGACTTTATAAATGCCATACTGACAATGAGCACAGCTTAAGCTAACCAGCATTTTCCTTTAATAGTGGTAGCTGTGTTAGTCTCTGCAAGCATATCGGTAAGAAACACAAAGCAAAACAGATTTTTTTAAAAAAAAACATAAAGAAGATATAGGATGACTTTATAAATGCCATACTGAATAAAGGCAAAGGGCAAAAGCCAGGGCTAGAATATATGTATTTCTGGAAGAGATGAAGGGTCTTTTAAAACAAAGGGAAAAGCCAGGACAAGAATATATGTATTTATGGAAGAGATGAAGGGTCTTTTAAAAGATGAATGAAACATTGTTGACAGAAAGACAGACGGATGGACAGACGGACGGACGGACGGCGAAACATTGTTGACAGACGGACGGACGGACGAGTGAGGAGTGCACTATTGCTTTGTTTTGTTTACATTTTTTATTTCCTTGTATGTAAACAAAATTTAATTTAATTTAAAATAAAAAAGAACACAAAGACATTGTGGCACATTAAAGACTAACTGCTGTACTATAATGTGAGTTTTTGTGAAACAAGTCCACTTCTTCAGATGTAAGAGTGAGACATAAGACCCAGCATTTTCCTGACACCAAAATCTAGTTTGAAGTAGGTTTCAGATCCTTGGATGATTGAGTCACTGAACTGCTTGAACATTATAGAAGAAACGAGAATTTGCTGCAAGGAAAGAACACACATTCCCATGGCTGGGTCATAATTTGTCATGCATAGTCAAGACAGCACTGTTGCATGTCTTGCAACCCAATGACTGAAATCCAGAAGTACATCACATACAGAAGAGTTTACTCACCAAGTTGCAACTTACTACTGAATTTCAATCAATATACATATAGCTATTATTGCAAAAACACAGGACTTTTTACAGTGAATTCTTCTGCAGATTAGTATGTGAAGCATACCTTATGATTACGTCCATGTTTGTCTAGCAATGAGATGATAGATTTGATATGGCCTTCTTCTATCAAATTTAAAGCCTCTGGGCTTTCAATCAAAATGCAGTGCAACACTTCCAAAATACCTGTATGAATGCCACAAGCAGAGAGATCATTCTGACTTTTAAGAATAGAGTGAATATAGTTCAAAAATAGAAGCAAAAACATCCTAGGGGAAAGGAAGAAAATATTTCCACATCCCTAGACTAATACCTTTCTAGCCTGTAAATAATGAAGTTGTTTCAAAGAAATGTGAGATTTGAAGAAAACATTTAACTGGTGCTCAAGTTTTCAAAATCACTCGTTACCAAATGAAAAACAGAAGTAAAACATAAACATTTTTTGGTCAAATACATTTCTGTAGTACCCCACCCAAGTACAGCAATTTCATTAAAGAGCCAAATTCAGTAAGGAACACTTTTTCAAAAATGTAACACATTATTTTAAAAGACAGACCTATTAAAATGGGATATCTTTTTTACTTTGCAAAGAATAATAAAATGTCCACAATGTGGAGATGGCCATGACTTAAATCGTGCTCCATTGTACAACTCCTGCTGCGAGGAGGCGGGGCAGGGAGTCTCCCTGCACGACTGTTGAGTGGTTGGCTGCCAGAAGATACAGGAAAGGCAGACTGAGCTCCTTCCTGAACTGGGCTGCTGACAATGGAGAACAACTTGGGCGGTAAATGAAGGCTTGTGAGTGGAGCAGCCAGCCAGGGGGCGTGGTCAGAGGGAACATCCTGCAGCTGTGGTGCCACCCAGCACAAGTCGTACGATGTGGCATGGCTTAAGTCATGCCCATCTCTAGTACAGAGCCAAGTTATTTCAAATATTTTAATAGATATCTAAACACATAATTTACTCACTCATCTTTTCTACACAGGATCATAAACAAAGCTTAAAATTCCTAATATAACTGAAACCCACACTCTTTAGTATGACGAGTATCAGGCCTGAATCCAATTCTGATGTCCAGGATAGGGCTCAATTTAAAACCTGAAGAAAGAGTAGTCCTGCCATCTTCTCTCATCTCTCTTTTCATATGGAGAGAAACTTTCTGAAGAAGACACTGTCCTCTATACATGCAATTTCTTAATGTGGTTTAAAATCCGGATTTTTCAAGGGCTTGGGTACTATGGCAGAAGCTCACTTCAGACTGTCACTGTCCACATGAACTGTGCAATGACACGGGAGGACAAGCTAGCCTGTTCAGGTTATCGCTGTCCTTGGTGCTGGTATTATCATAAAGCTTTCAGAACAGCCTTTATTTCAACTTTATCCTTAACAAGACATCAGCTAAAGAACAACGGGAGCACACCAGCCCCATCTTGACTATTTTTGCTTGACTCATATGAAAATAGACAAGTCTGAAGCAAAGAGGATCATACATGCGTGGAAGCTCTTCAGATGCTTCCAAACTCTGATTTGCTAATGTTCTGTCCTGTATGGAGATGATCCATAAATACAAGAGGCTCTCCACTTCAGCCTCCTCACTTCCTCTGACATGAGCATAGCAGTGATGGATGAGGCAGGGCTAAAAAGTCCCCTCCTCACATATTTGGTAGAATGCAAGAATGGGGTTAATCAGAGCATGAGCTCAACCAGATCCCACAAAGAGTTTACACTTAGCCTGTTAATGTTCTAGCATTGTTTCCCTGAATTTGTTGTTCTTGTTGTTATCAATGAAAGACTCCTTTCACTTCTGAAAACTGTATGCATGAGCAATCCCCAAAATGCCCTGACCTCAAAAGCCCTGCTCAGCAATTGTAAACTCAAGCCTGTGGCTACCTTTAGGGAGGCAAACCATCTCATACTTCGTCTTCCTCTTTTCCTGCTGCTTTCAACATTTCATAGCATTGTTGTTTTTTCCAGCAAATCTTTCCTTTTCATGTCCAGTGTATGACAGTCTCTCAGTTTTGACATTTTTGCCTGCAGAGAAAGTTCTGCTTGATTTGATCCAGGATCCACTTATTTGTCTTTCTGGCAGTCTGGGGTATCTGCAAAGCTCTACTCTAGCACTAAATTTCAAATAAATTAATTTTTTTTCTTTCAGCTTTCTGCACTGTCCAGCTTTCACATGTAAACAATAATTGAGAGTACTATACAGTGGGGTCTTGACTTGAGAACTTAATCCGTATTGGAAGGCGGTTCTCAAGTCAAAAAGTCTGTAAGTCAAGTCTCCATTGACCTACAGTGCACTGAAAACCGATTAATCCCGTAACAGGCCGTTTTTGTTCCATTTTGGTTTTTTTCTGGTCTGTAAGTCAAATCTCAGTCTGCAAGTCAAACCTAAATTTTGCGGCCAGAGAAGTCTGTAACTCAAAAAGTCTGTAAACAATAATTGAGAGTACTATAATAAGAATGATCTTGGCCATGGTCTACAATGTTTTTGAACGCTGGTGCTGACAAGAAGTTTTGCTCACCTATATGAGCAAAAAATCGTGCACATTTGCCCATTTTTTCAACAGGATTTCATGATATTTTGATACACTCTTCTTTGATGAGGATGAGAAAATTTGCAGCTACTTGTTATAGACGTGAACGCTGGTGCTGACCTATATGAGCAAAAAATCGTGCACAGTTGCCCATTTTTTCAACAGGATTTCATGATATTTTGATACACTCTTCTTTGATGAGGATGAGAAAATTTGCAGCTACTTGTTATAGACATTAGAGAAGGGTACAAACCAAAAAAACGAACCAGGAGGTTTGTAGGAAATTGCTGGTTTGTTGGTTCAGGTTAGTTCAGGTTTGTGCAAACTGGAGTACCTGAACTGACCTGAACCACGGACTTTTAAATTTTTTTCCTGAACTTCCTGGTTCATTCCCCTACGTCCCTTTCCCACTGCCCCTGTTGCTTCCCTCCCTTTTGTTGCCTCCACCACCACCACCACCACCTCCACTGCCAACCTGAGAAGCAGCCAAGATGGCTCCTGCAGGCAGGGCTGCTGTTCAAAAACTAAATAAATAAATAAAAGACGCCAAGCTACGTACCTATAAACATGGTGATGGTGGTAGTGCCAGCAGCAAAAGGTAGAGACTGAGAGGCAATGGAGGCAGTGGCAAGGGAGAAGGGGTTTTACTTTTATTTCTAAAAGACATGAGAATTTAAAAAAATAAACTAGTTCAAAAACAAACCGGGTAGCCACAAACCACAATTTGTTAATTTCATGCCCATCTCTAATATACATCCTTGACCTGGAGGCCTAAAAAAATTCAGGGGACAGATATTTTTCTCTGAAGTAACAAAATTAGTATTTGCTGTATTTATATATCAAATAAAAACATTATTTACCTGAAGATGACTCTAGTCTATCCAATTTACTAATTAACCAATCAAGATTATTAGAAAACTGGGCACAATTGTTTCTGTTACCACGAATGAGAGCAGCTGAAAGAGAAACAACAAAGGAAAATTGATTTGAAGTATTGCAGCAGAATGCTAAAATGTAAGCTTCTGTTATGTATCCCCACCCACTATTAGTTATATTCACTACCTCAACATTTACACTTACTGTATTTTTCCATATATAAGACTATACCTTTGCCTAAAATCTTTAGACTAAAAACTGAGGGTCGTTTTATACGGAGAAGTAAACAGAGGAGAGAAAAAAACCAAGTGGAGGGGAAAAAAAATACGGTAATACTGTATGATCTAAGGAACTCTGTAAACTCTTGCTGGAACATTCTCACATGGATAATCGATTCTCACATTCCCTATATGAGTCAAATGCCACTTAACACTGGATAATCATCTGATATCATTGTCATTAATTCCAAATCTGAAAACATGGTCAATCAAAGATGTACTCATTAAAATTTCTGTAGCCCCAATGCTCTTCATTGAATAATGTTTGTAAGATGTATAACAATGCAATGCACTCTTCAAATCCTTGACTCAGTGAAAGAAAGACTTTTTCAGTAAAAGGCAACAGGACAACAATGCTAATTGAATATTGTATTTTCTTCACAGTTGTGGGCAATTGGTTGTTACGTAACTAAAAACCATGCTAGTAAATTTAACTGAAATAAAGCCAAGATTTCATACTTTGGGGGAAAGTAGACATTCAAAACTGTCTCCAGTTATCTCAGATTATGTAGGAAGATCTCACAAAGCTGCAAGAGGCTCACAAGATGATAAGTGGTAGCCTTCAAGTCCCTCTACTAATGTTAAGACACTGTAGAACAGATAATTATTCCTCTTCAGTGGCATCAGAATCACTTTGAAGGATGAGAATAGAAAGCTCAAGATGAAATAAAAATACAGTTTGGTCACTGTTCCAAACTGTCTGCTGTCTATAGTTATATTCACTACCTCAACATTTACACTTACTGTATTTTTCCATATATAAGACTATACCTTTGCCTAAAATCTTTAGACTAAAAACTGAGGGTCGTTTTATACGGAGAAGTAAACAGAGGAGAGAAAAAAACCAAGTGGAGGGGAAAGCAGGAATCAAAGTGATCCTGCAGGCCTTTGATCCCTGTTTTCCCCTCCACTTGGTTAGCCTTAGCAAAAGGAAAGCAGGGATCACAGTTGTGGGCAATTGGTTGTTACATAACTACAAACCATGCTAGTAAACTTAGCTGAAATAAAGCCAAGATTTCATACTTTGGGGGAAAGTACACATTCAAAACTGTCTCCAGTTATCTCAGATTCTGTAGGAAGATCTCACAAAGCTGCACAGGGTGATGAGTGGTAGCCTTCAAGTCCCTCTACTAATGATGTAGGAAGATCTCACAAAGCTGCAAGAGGCTCACAAGATGATAAGTGGTAGCCTTCAAGTCCCTCTACTAATGTTAAGACACTGTAGAACAGATAATTATTCTTCTTCAGTGGCATCAGAATCACATTGAAGGATGAGAATGGAAAGCTCAAGATGAAATAAAAATACAGTTTGGTCACTGTTCCAAACTGTCTGCTGTCTAATACAGATATTAATTAAGGCACCATTTCAGTGTGGAGGTTGTGACAGTACAGTACTGTCAAAAGAAAATATCACTAGAATCAATGTGGAAACATGACATAAAGTACAAGATGAAATAAAAATACAGTTTGGTCACTGTTCCAAACTGTCTGCTGTCTACTACTAAGACACAATTTCAGTGTTGAGGTTGTGACAGTACAGTACTGTCAAGGAAAATATCACAAGAATCAATGTGGAAACATGACATAAAGTATTCATTTTCAAAATGAACACCAAATCTTAGGCTTACTTCTTTCTAATTTCTGTGCAATAGACTTCTTGTTTGTACACTGCCCAGAGTAGTGTGAACTCACTAATCAGGTGGCAAATCAATCAATCAATCAATCAATCAATCAATCAATCAATCAATCAATCAGTTGCTTCAGCATAGCGAAGGTTAATCCGGAACGGATTAACCTCGCTATGCGAGGCACCACTGTAAATCTTTTCTTTATGTACCCCCAAGACACACATGAATAATTTCATAAATGTAAAAGAATTTTTTCCCGCTCCCATGGGAATGAAAGTTAATTATAGCAAAATTATTTTACTTGAGACATCAAAAATAAGTTTAAACTTATTAGTTTAGAATACACCATTTGTATTTTATATTAGAAGAACTGGAAACTGGGAAGCAGGTGGAATGTTCTGGAAAGTATCTGAAACATCGTATCCTGTAACTTAATCTTACAGTTTAAAGTTATTCAACTCACCTAGCAATTTGTAAAGAAGATTCAGAATTTCTTTCCAAGCTGCACCATTTTCTTCCCTACTAACTCCTGCAAAATGAGCAGTACTATAGTAGACATTCAAGCGATCAATGCAGTTCAAAACCAATGCCAGCATCCCCTGTAAAATGTCATAAATAAATAAAAACAGTTTATATGTACATAAATTAATTATTTTACTTTTTAACTACTTAAAAAGAAAAAAATTTTATGATACATTTCAGGACCATGCTGAGCTTTCAAATACTGCATATGAATCCATCTCTTTCCCCAAATAATGTACTCAGCTATTGTCTGACACTGGAGCACAATGAATTTACATGTAGTCAAACTAAACATGCCTGTTCCTTCTCTTAAATGGGCCACAAAAATGCTGATTTATATCAGGAGTATAGCAATAGGGAGAGAGTAGTTAACACCCCTTCCTCAGCACCATTCCCCTGATTTACACTCATCCTCTCTCTACTAGTAGAGGCCTCGGGACAGAGGTTTTATCAGTCTATATTGTCAATGTATGGTGACACTATGAATTAGTGACTACCAAAAGATCTTGCTCAGATTTTGTAATCTATGGCCATGGCTACCTTTACTGAATCAATCCATCTAATATTTAGTGGTCTTCTTTTTAGACTGCCTTCAACTTCTTCCAGCATTATTTGCCCTTTCCAGTAAGTCTTGATACATGTACTCATTACTATCATTGTCATTATTACAGGGAACTAATGCTGGCTGGGAGGCAGAGAAGTTATATCAGTGAAACCGTGAAAAAGAAAGGGTTACTTCTTCTTTTCCAGTGCCACAGCACTGGTCCAAACTAGGTACATCCACTTAAAATTTTAACTAATGAAAAAAAAATAGAAGGATAAAAAGAGCCTTTAAGTATCCTGCTCAGATTTTGTAATCTATGGCTATGGCTACCTTTACCATCTAATATTTAGTGGTCTTCTTTTTAGACTGCCTTCAACTTCTTCCAGCATTATTTGCCCTTTCCAGTATGTCTTGATACATGTACTCATTACTATCATTGTCATTATTACAGGGAACTAATGCTGGCTGGGAGGCAGAGAAGTTATATCAGTGAAACCGTGAAAAAGAAAGGGTTACTTCTTCTTTTCCAGTGCCACAGCACTGGTCCAAACTAGGTACATCCACTTAAAATTTTAACTAATGAAAAAAAAATAGAAGGATAAAAAGAGCCTTTAAGACCGAAGGTATATCTCTTCCAATATTCTGTTTACTTAATAACCATCTAGATATCTATAAGCACCCCACATGCAAGATGTTACCACATTAGCCTCTAATATCTATTGCCTGCAATCAACATTTCTCTCTGGCACCTAACTTTGGAGAAAAAATTGCTTCTTAACAGAGCTTATAATAACTGTGGCTCTAAGGATCCATGTTCATAAAATTAAGAAGAGGAAGGGAGAGGGAAGAAAAGCAAAATATTGTGGCACTTTAGAAACTAACAAATTTAGCGAAGTGTGAGTTTTGATGGATCTATGCGTTTATCTGTAAGGACATAACTAAAATAAAAGAGCATGTCAAAAGCATTACTGCAAGGCAAATCACAGTGGCACTGAACCATTAGCATAATTCCATGTCCTGCACAAGTAAAATGCTTTGAAGCCTTCCTAACCTCTTCCTTGAATAGATTTTGCCTGTTCTTGAGTGAACGAAGTTTGTTTTGTTTATCCTCATGTTCTAGTTCCTCTTCTGGAGGCTGGAAATATGTAATCAAGTCTTGCAGGGTCTGAAGTACTTCTTCAATGGGCAAGGTGATGGGAGTTGAAGTTCTGTTGTTTCCACTGTGCATCAACAGAAAGGCAAAGAAAGCAATTATCAATATAATCTACAATTGTTTCCATACTGAAGAGCTCTTTTTATACTGAGAGTATCTGGTATTGCCTAGTTCAAAATTGAGGCTCTGAAAAGATGGTTGATGTTGTTCATATTCTCAAGGAAACCGGACAGCCTCAGCCATTTATAGGCTACATTTACACTCTTCAGGCAAAAGTAATCCAGAAAGTCATGTCTAAAATGGGGGCTAGAGGAGTTAAACAATGTTTCATTAAACAGTTGGGCATTAAGGGGGCATGTGATAGAGAAAGATGGGGGGACTGCACTGAAAGAATGAGTAAAAGTTAAAGGACAACTCAGGATGGCTAAACCTGGAAAACTGAAAGCTAGATCTGATGTAACATATCAAAACATATAACTAGAAAGACAGGGTGACACAAACTGATAAACCTGAAAGTAAGCACAAGTGTCACTCCTTGACATAGAAGCTAATATAAATTAGTCAATAGAGAAGGCAGAGGAAATCATCATGCCTATCTTGCACAGAAATACTTCTGTGAAGACTTCTGTCTATAAACAGGATGCCATTATCTTTCAAAGCTGTGAAAAAGTCTGTCTCTAGACGCTTTTCTAAATTGCATTAGCATTCATGTCACAATCACAGCACACAGCATCTATAGTTAACAGTCAGTATAGCAACAAATGCAGTGTACAGAGTGATCATGACACAAGACCAGGACATAAGCACATTTGTAGAAGAATGGAAGACTGTATTTAAATATGCATTTGTGAAGGCTTTCAGGGCTGGGATCTAATGGTTGTTGTGGGTTTTTCGGGCTCCTTGGCCATGTTCTGAAGGCTGTTCTTCCTGATGTCTCACCAGTCTCTGTGGCCGGCATCTTCAGAGGACAGCACTCTGTGCTCTGGTGTAATTGGCTTATTTATTTATTTAAATAAATGCAGTCTTCCATTCTTGGATACTCCTTTGATCAGCAAACTTGCCTTCCTATGAAGTTTTATTCTCAAGGATGTTTGAAACATGTTGTTAGTACTGAAGCTGGGATTTGGAATGTCCACACATCCTTGAGTTATATAAATGGAAATGGGGTGGATTCAGTTTATCAGATTGATTTATTGTAGGAATGACAATGCTGACAAATTTGAAGAGCAAATTTCATCTTAGCAGTTCTGCTGGGGGAAAAAGCACCATGAACTGAACACCTATTTAGAGTAGACCCACTGTCATAAATGAAATCTAAGGTCTACTAATCCATCTCCCATTCATTTCAATGAGTCTGCTCTAAGTCTGGAGCCAGCAGAATCCTTTACCTAATTCTGGATTAATAAACTTCTTTTATATCAGAATAGAATATACCAAACATATTATACCTTATAAACTGACTAAATAATCTTGTTGTGTTGAGAATGATTCTAGCAGCCTGGGATTCTTCATGTTGACACCTCTGCAAGGTAAGACCATCATCCATGTGTCCTTCTTGATGCAATATAACCTACGAAGAGTGGCCAAAGGAATGGTTTAGAAATATTTGCTGTTTCAAGTGCTGGGCACTCTGCCAAAGGGATTATATTTAGGGATGTGCCAATCATAGGTACTGAATACTGAACAGCCAAATTCCTTTTTATCCTTTTAATTCAAATAATATATTCAGCGTGAACATCTAATAACAAATTGAAACCAGTTGAGAAAAATTGTGCACTACAGCAGCAGCATGCAGATAACACATTCTTCATAATTTGGAGGAAAATAATAGATTCATTCTCTTTCCTTTCTCTGCTTATGCATCCATCTTAACAGAACATATCCTGGATTGTCAAGGTACCGTCTTCTGTGATATGGGACTAATTAACTGCAGGGTTTAGAAATGCTTTCAAGCACAGATTGTAAACCATAATTAAACTGGAGTTTCAAATCCTGGTTCAGAGAGATGGCTCAAATCAGTGTTTCCTGAATAAGCTTTCACAGCAAATTGCACTTTGATAAATCAGAATATTTTCTGTTAAGCTATGCATGCAAGGGAAAGTGAAAGTAGAAAGCATATGTGCACAAAGTTTGTTTCTGATCCACAAAGCCATGATTAAAGGATACGATTTCTAAATGTAACCACAGAGTTTATCATGCTTTATTCTTCCATTATTTTAGTCATTCGGTTGTTTCTCAGAATTCACTATAAAGATTTTCTCCTTCCCAACTCTGTATCTGAAGTTATAATAGCCCCAGGTATTTTTTTTAAAAAAAAAACTAGACAGAATCCTCTTGCATAGCTACACAAGTGGTGTAAGTTTTGGATGCAACTTGGCCCAAGTTAAGCAATCACAGCAGACATTATTAGCTGTACACTGAATCATTCAACTCAGTATGCACCTCTAAAAGTTATATTCTTTGTATGATGCTACTATAATTATAGAATGTTTAAGAAGACTCAGCTGCGCATGTTCAATTCCTTTCAACATTAAAGGTTCACTATGAAGACAACAATGGGTGCAGAGTGATGCCCAGAAGCACATTTGTAAAATACGCTAAAATCAAAGAGACTGGTACTGTCTACAGTCTAGTAACCCTGCACAAAGCACAGCACAGAGATACTGCACAAATATAAGAAGCCATGCTGTGGAACAAGAGGACCAGCTCCCAAAAGCCATGTGTGGCTCCCAAAAGTCATGTGTGAACCCCTTTTTTTATAACAGTTGCACAGTGGTGTTGCTGTGCAGTGGGGCAACACAACGTTCCTTGTCCTAGGCAGCCAATGGGCACAGACTACTCATGGGTAGACCACTGTATCAAAATTTAAAATAAGGATAGTGAGTCCATTCAATGTATCCTAAGATGGCAATGTACTCTCAGATCCTTATCTTCAAAGCAATACAACATCACTGACATTTTTAGTTACCTACTTCAGACAAGTGAGCCATAGGAAACACGAAGTTTAATTATTTTATTTACCTTTCTTTTCAGTGGTCCTAAACGTGTTGTTTTAGCATCCTGTGCTTTGTAAGTCAGCCACAAAGTGCTGGCTACATGCTGCACAAAGCAAATGGAATCACCATACTTTATTTCAGGAACTCCCATGCCCTCTATATCACGTTTATGAGCAGAATCCAGTTTTTCCTTTAAGCCAAAGAAGAAAAAAATGATAGTAATATTAAGACAATATCAGATTGTTGTTAATTATGTTAGGTAGTGACTTATATAATAGCAGCAATATCGAATCAAGCAGGAAATGCAGGAAGAAAGAACGAAGGTATGCAACCTTGCAGGGCTTTCTGCACCAATATTGTTCTTTCTCTTGTGTTGCAGTGCAGACCGAAACAAATTTACTTTTGACATACAGAGATCTGACAAGGAATTTCCTAGGCAGGTGCACCCTCACAGTGGCCAAAAGTTTAAGTTTTATTATGCGGTCGCAGACCTGATTAAACAAATATAAATACATAGAATAAATACGTAGTATAGTATATAACTCAACCCTGAGTGCTCGCTGGAAGGACAGATCCTGAAGCTGAGGCTCCAATACTTTGGCCAGCTCATGAGAAGAGAAGATTCCCAGGAAAAGACCCTGATGTTAGGAAAATGTGAAGAGGAGAAGGGGACGACAGAGGATGAGATGGCTGGACAGTGTCATCGAAGCTACCAACATGAATTTGACCCATCTCTGGTAGGCAGTGGAAGACAGGAGGGCCTGGCGTGCTCTGGTCCATGGGGTCACGACTTAACAACTAAACAACAACAAAATAGTATAAAATCTTGCCAAGAGTGGCCAAAATCCTGTCGCATAATGTATGGGCAACTGTAGCCATGTTGTGGCCATTTGGGTACAACTAAAACTCCCCAGTCTCTGCAGGTTCCAGGCATCCCTAGAGATCCCCTTCATTCTGGGGAAGACTTTGGGAGTCACAGAACAAGCCAGGAAATGATTCAAACCCCCAAAAGTGCTGCCACTGCATTGGTGTGCTACAGGCTTTAAATAATGTTCCACTCTGTTCCACAGCTCCTGAAGGCTTCCCCAGGATGAAGGGGCTCCCTGGAATCCAGGGAGGCAGACTATGAAGTTTTTAATTGCTATGAAATGGCTGAGGCATGACCAAGCTGATGACATCATCCAAGTTGTACCAACAGGATTTCAACCACTGAACCGTGCTGATTGTTATTGGAACATGCTGGGTTTTTCAAATCAATTTTATACTATCACCACAGAATTTAACAGTGGGAGACAAGAATGATTTTGTTTTGTATGTTTCTCAGTGCCTATGATTCCTTTTTATAAACCAAATCTCCTTAGTGCAACTTTTGTATTTTTTCCTTTTGACCGTCTAGAAAATGCCCCACTGAATTTAAAGGGGCATAAGCAATTTTTACAATGCCAAAAAAAGTGCATTGGCCAGAATCCTACTGCATTAAATTGTCTTGTAACAGGAAATACACATGAGATGGAAGTCAGTTTGCTAGCTATCTGGAGCACATCCCACAGTTCTGTAGTTGTGCAACAGGGCGCACGAGCAGCTGCACAATTAGAAATATGAATGGCAGATGACAAATTGCAAAACTATGCTTTTACATGAACAATATTTCTCAAAAGACTGTTGGTCATTTATTTCAATTGAATTGAGGTATGGCTATCTTTGGTTATCTTGTTGGATAGCACCCAAACCCAACAAAGCGACTTAAGTAGTCACCAGCATGCGGATGACATCCAACTCTACCTCTCCTTGCCACCTAAATCCGAGAAAACTGTTTCAGCTCTAAATCAGTGTTTGGTATCAGAAATGGACTGGACGAGGGTGAAACTTAATTGAAACTTAATACAAACAAGACAGAGGTGCTTCTGGGTCAGTTGAAAGGCAGATCAAGGAATAGGGATGTAGCATGTACTGGATAGGATTACACTCCCACTTTAAAAACAGGCATGAAGCTTAGGGGTGCTCCTGGATTCATTCCTGAGCCTGGAAGCTCAGATTTGGCAGTGACCAGGAGTGTATTTGCACAATTAAAACTAGTGCACCAGCTACATCCATTTCTCAAGAGATCTGATCTGGCGACTGTCAAACCATGCCCTAGTTACTTCCTGGCTGGATTACTGTATCATGCTTCATGTGGGACTGCTGATAGAAAGTGTCAGGAAACTTCAGTCAGTCCAAAATGCAGCAGCCAGATTGCTGACTTGGGTTGGTTACAGGGATCTCATAATCCCCCTGTTACAGCAGCTCCACTCATGCTGATCAGTTACCGGGCACAATTTAAAGTGCTAGTTTTAAAGTCCTAAATGGGCTGGGCCCAAACTATCTCAAAGACTGTATCTTCCATTAGGGCCTGGTGTGAGTGTTAAGATCAGCAGGAGGGTTTTTCTCTCGGTCCGTCCACCTTCACAAGTGTGTCTGATGGGGACTCGGGAGAGGATCTTCTCTGTTGCTGCTCCCAGACTTTGGCACCTCCTCCCACAGGAGGCCAGGCTGGCCTCATCTTTGCTGTCCTTCTGCAAGTAGGCAAAGACCTTTCTCTTGAAGTAAGCCTTCCCTCAGAAACTAGCTACCTTTGTGGGATTTTTAGATGGATTGTTATGCATAAGTAAGCCTTCTCTCAGAAACTAGCTACCTGTGTGGGATTTTTAGATGGATTGTTATGCATGATTGAATTTTTAGTACCACTTGTGTTCTCCATTTTTGGGTTTTTCATTTCTCAAAGTGACATTTAGTGTTTGTTTGTTTTTAATTGCCCTTTAATGTTGTGTTGCAAGCTGCCTTTTAAAGGAAAAAGGCAAAGTTAAAAAATTAAATAAATAAATAAAGAAGAGGAACAAAATTTTATTTTAAAAGAAATGTACTGTGAGAGATGCAAGTTTAACAATAGCTGTGATAACTATAGTAAATCACTTTCACTTCACTGAATTACAGCTGTCCAACTTCAATGTCAGTTTCAGCCTAAATAGATATGTAATATTGTCATGCCAAGATAAAAAGAAATTTAATTTCTATATACTCCGTGGGGATGGCATTACAAAGGCAAGGCCCAAAAAAAGCATATTATATCAATGTGATACAGATTACTGTTTGAAATTAAATATATTTGCAATAAATGTTTGCAATGAGCACAAAACTATGAAGTACTGTACATTCGCAATGCCATCTCACATGAGACAGAATATCTTCAAAGTCTCATGCAGGAAACTAACCAGTAATTTCCACCACCACTATTGTGCATACTCAACTTATTGTACATCACTTTTACTGCAGAATTCCTTTAACATATTTTAAAGCATGGCAAAGCAGACATCATGATGAGGGTGTGAGGAAATGTGTCAATACATTATAATCAGAAAGCTGAACAGATGGAAAATGAATGTTATCCGTTCACATATTTTGTTACTTTTCAGTTGTACTCGCTTAAAAGGAGAATAACAAAAGCCTTATAGTTATTTATCATAGCTATTAAATCACCTGAATAATTAAGAGAAGAAACATCTGCATATACCAGAAGTGTGAAAGCTGACATACACTTGAATGCACTTTCACACCATGGCACTTGGGGCCACTGAGTTAACTAAACTGGTCTCTGGTTTCTCACATATACCCATCAGCTGTTATGTCCAATGCCTTATTAATTAATGTCCAGAGTAGGAGACAGCCTGAGATAAGGGGCTGTTATTAATCCCTTGCCTTCAGTTCATCTGCCAGCTTCTTTGACTGATGTATTTTACAAGAAAACAAGATTTAAAAAAAATAAAATAAACAGGCACTGTCCACCATTAACTGAGCACTGAACTCACTACTGTGTTGTTTGTATGCGCCATCAACTTGCTTTTAACTTACACAACTACTTAATGAAGTTGTAGCATAAATATACATCTCACCATAACCATTACCATGGTAGAAGTGAGGGGATCCAATTTACAGATCAAAGGGTGCACATCTGTAAATCCCCACTCTGGCTTGATCTTCTGTTCCCACAGCTTCTTCCTCAGTGATGACATCTGATCTGAGCTTGTTGTTTAGTCATTTAGTCATGTCCAACTCTTCATGACTCTATGGACCAGAGCATGCTAGGCCCTCCTGTCTTCCAAAGTTAGGTCAAATTCACGTTGGTAGCTTCAATGACACTGTCCAGCCATCTCATCCTCGGTCGTCCCCTTCTCCTCTTGCCATCACCCTTTCCTAACATCAAGGTCTTTTGCAAGGAGTCTTCTCTTCTCATGAGCTGGCCAAAGTATTGGAGCCTCAGCTTCAGGATCTGTCCTTCCAGTGAGCACTCAGGCTTGATTTCCTTCAGAATGGATATGTTTCATCTCCTTGCAGTCCAGGAGACTCTCAAGAGTCTCCTCCAGCACCACAATTCAAAAGCATCAGTTCTTTGGTGGCCAGCCTTCTTTATGATCCAGCTGTCACTTCCATACATTGCTACAGGAAAAACCATAGCTTTGACTATGCGGACCTTTGTCGGCAAGGTGATATCTCTGCTTTTTAAGAGGCTGTCTAGGTTTGTCATCGCTTTCCTCCCAAGAAGCAGGCGTCTTTTAATTTCGTGGCTGCTGCCATCATCTGCAGTGATCATGGAGCCCAGGAAAGTAAAATCTGTCACTTTAGTGCCCTCCTAATCTGAGCAGGAGGGCACTAAACTCTCCAATTCGGCAATGAGGCCCTTCTCTGCTGCCTTTACAACCCCATCACTGCATTCTGAAGACTGCCACTTCCTCCTTCTCGAAATACTTCCATGATAAAAATTAAAATACAATGTTAATTTTCCTACATTCATATACAGTATAGAAATGGCTTACCTTCAATGCTCTAAAACAGAAAGAAGTTGATTTTGTGTCTGCCTTCTCTTTGTCAACCAAGACAAGGCCCAGGTCTTCAGACAGAGCCAAAAACTGTCCTGTGGTAATGTGTCGAAGGCGAAAGGGCTGTCCCCAGCGTATGTTACTTCCACTCCAGCTTAATTTGAATGATAATGTTAAACTGAACCGTTAAACTGATGGCTTATGTGGAGCAAAATGTAAACATTTAAATCACAATCTAGGCAAAACTAAACATATTTACAATCAAGTGGCTGCCTCAAGAGAGACCTAAGCAGTGGCAAGGGGTGGCCACTGAGGTTGGTGTGGCAAAGTAACAAGAAATGGCAAAGAAAATTTATTTATTTATTTATTTATTTTATTTATATCCCGCCTATCTAGTCACGATAGAAGAAGAAGAAGAAGAAGAAGTGGCCAGCACTCCATGTCTGCAATAAGCAGAGCAGAAACAGCTAGAAAACCTATTGCACTGCAGGGGGGAGTGGCAGTGATGCAAAATGTGTTCTGCAAGCCTAAGCCAGTCAGCAGCACTTTAAAATCCCAGGAAAGAAAATGGTCCACAGCAAGCAAATTACAGCAACACTTTCCGAAAAAGCAATTCCATAGAAGGCAAAATGATTATTATTTCTTGCCTCATAAGGCTTTTTCTGTACCTTGCTCAGATGACAAAATGCACTAATTTTTAAAATATCTTTTTGCCAGTAAAGCAGACAAAGCAACCTATATTTCTGAAAGTCACTCATGTTCCACATTTAATCCTTGCTAAAATCTCTTCTCCCATCATTCTCACAAAGACAAACACACACATACATACACACACAGAGATAGAGAGAGAGAGAGAGAGAGAGGGAGAGAGAGAGAGAGAGAGGTGCGCAAATGAAAAAAGCATGTGTGGGAGTTTCTAAAAGGCTGCTGCCTGGGAAAGGTAATCAAAAGTACCACACTGGCAGACAGTGAGACACACTGATTGAGAGAATGTACCGCCAACTTGGGTCATTACGGAACAACCCGGGAGAAAATGTGACCAAGCAAGCAAACATTATAGACAGCAAGTTACAAACTGCTGTGCAACACATTCAGAAGAAACCAATGAAAAAAAAGACTGCGAGCCAAAGCAAAGTATTCACTTCCTCCTCTCCAAAAAAAGTGAAAAGAGTGAGAGTAGTCATGGAAGAAAGACAAAAGTTTTAATTGGCTGGGGGAACTAAAATCCTGCACATGGTCTTCCAGGAGTAAACTCTATCAAACAGTGGAACTTCCTTCTGGTTAGGCAGGCATAAGGTGAAAAGAGTTATATCATTAAAAATAAAACCCGAACCAGAAAGTCTTATGGCACATTTAAGACCACTAAGTCTTAAACTTTTGTCCTGTATCCAAGCAGCCCCATTTTCCTGGATTATTCTTTGATTTTTGTACTTCATTTCAAAATCTATTTGAACGACTTCCAGAGTCTGCAGTTGCCAAACGTGTAACTCTTGTTCTCAGAGATGAAGACAAACAATGCAAACACATGACAGATCACCACCACTGAAGTCTCTCTTCTCTTCATGCCTCCTATTTCCTTTTTAATTTCTTCTGTTTATCTATAATAATCTTAGAACTGAAGAGCTGGAAGGGACCCTATGAATCACTGAGTCCAGCTCCTATCAAGGAGGCACAGTGGGGAATCGAACTCCCAACCTCTGGTTCACAGCCATATGCCTAAACCACTGAGCTACTGAGCCATGGATTATTGCCCTTTCCTTTGTCTTCTCTGTCTTGAAGGATGTTGGGGAAGTCCACTAATATATAACTATATCCAGAAACCAAACATTTTGTTAAAGATCTCTTCCTTGATCTCAGAAATACCCTAGTAGTAATCATCCTTATAGTTATAATCCACTCACTTCAATTATTATTGATCAGGAGGTGTGAATATGACCATCACTTCCAACAGTGTAGAACAACAGACTTTTCATTTTTTAAACAAAGGGCTAAGGGGGTCATCTTATTGAACACCTTGTCCTCCTGGTTCCTGATAATGAAAATATCACTCTGCACAAGTGCAGTTGCATGGAATTTCAGGGACTGTGAGCCCTAAATCAGCACAGAAAATACAGTTATATGTAATTTTGGTTTTAAGATGGCACACCATCAGTGCCTGCAGAGTATGCTGGCTGGCGGTAATCTGAATTTGGCTTGGAGCAGAATCTTATATGCCCTAAAAGACCAACCATCAACTGGGAACTAAATGCATAGTTAATTCTCTCACCAAAATCACAGGGATCTGACTGTTTAACTCTCACTGACTCTTTACTCATTCTATACTTACTTCGTCAGGCTCACACTCAAATAACCAGTTTCACCCACAACAAGACACACTAATCACCCATCTCCTGAATAGGACAAAAGCCTATCTCAGGAACAGATAGTCTCTTCTCCTTAGCACAACAATACACCCACAACAATACACACTAATCACCCATCTACAGGAAAAGACAAAAGCCTATCTCACAGCCATAAATACTCCACTCCCAAGCAAACTACACCAGAGCACAGAGTGCTGTCCTCTGAAGATGCCAGCCACAGAGACTGGCGAAACATTAGGAAGAACAACCTTCAGAACACGGTCAAAGAGCCTGAAAAACCCAGAACAACCAACCAGTTTCAGCTTGGGCTCTTAACACAGTTTCTGGCTTCCCATTCCATTTCTTGGATTTTAATTCAAACACGGGAATGATCTTCTTGTTGACATTTATCTCATTTCATTCCTACAGTACCACTGATTCCATTTATTATTAAATATCGTTTCTGTGAACAAACAGAAAATATGTAACCCTTCCATTTAAGAGCACAAAACTAACAAAAGAAGCTTTATTTCAAATTGTTCTGAGAAGATACAATTACCTTATCCGAAGGGGTTCCACTCTCCATAGTGACCTTGCCCGGACACCAGCTCCCCCTGCTTCATAAAAAAGCCGCCTGGAAAGATATTTTTAGTTATAAAAATTACATTTTACACATAAAGGTTGTCACAGTTTCATAATCTTATCTTAGTACAATAGAAATAATTGAGAGATGAACAAAACTGAATCACTGCACATTTTTTCTCCATTCTGAGAACTGATCTTCTTTTGACAACTCTGACTATTATATATTCTTGTACTAGCATAGACGTAGCTTATTTGTTTTGTTCTCCTTTTAGAAAGATATGTATCATAGGCTTCTCGTGGTTAGAAACCAGTTAGAGCGTTAAGCACTGACTGATATCTATTGCTAAGTACCACTTAGCAGAATGGAAGCCAATGGTAAAATGCTGAAACAAATTATTTCTTTCCTAACAGAACTGTATACATCTAGGCTGAGGGGATTCGATCTTACGACTGCTTGGTCTTCTGACCCTGCAGCACAGGCTTCTGCGGTTTAGCCCACGGCGCCACCACGTCCCCCCATAAATGATGTACATTTATGCAAAACATGAAATACAACTGATGTAAACCAACATGGAATAGAGTGACCTAGCCAATAATCATAATTATTTTTGTTGGTGTACATGACAGTTCTCACATTTTGTCAACCAAATGCTACATTTACCATGAGAAGAATTTGGAAGCTATTTGACTCTGATTTTGTTTGTTTTTAAGGCAATTACAAACAACCAGGATCTTGAGTATTTTCCCAATGGTGACACTATTTCTTGAGTAGAATTCCTGCTTGATTACTTGGTTTAGATGGTGGGTTTTTTTGTCAGTTGCGCAACTGCCCTTACATGCTCAGTTTTTGCAACAGCACTTTGTCCCATGTGTCTATTCTAGTGATTGGACTAGTGTGCGACTTATGCACATCATTCTTTACAGATAGGTATTGTGCGCCAGGGGAGAGACAGAGCTGGAACTAAATAAAGTGCCAGATACTATCCCCCAATAGTGAGCAAAATTTGTGCCTAAAAGGTCATTTTGCAGCCTGCCAAGAAAAAAAAAGGGGGGGTTGAAGAAGTCAGATATTCACATCCAGCTATCTTAAAATCTTTTTTAAAAACAGTAAAAATGTGTGGTGGCACTGCATCTTGTTTAGAAAGCAAAATTTTAGCAATTCTCCCCCCCCCCTTTTTTTTTTTTTTTTTTTTTTTTTTGCTAAAATCTGGGGATTAGAATGACAGAGAATTCTGAAAAGAGTCTAGGGGGCCCAAAACCCCACACTTTCAAGATACATGTTGGTCCAGGAAGGGGTACATTCAGGGACTATTTCCTATCCTGAAGGCTTTGTGGAAAATTCCAATCAAATATCACCAGGGATGAAGCAATTCAACACTCACACAAACTGGCTGAAACCAGCTCTGAACTCACCGGAGAAATATGCCTGGCAAAGTTCTGCCACGACAACTTTTGGAACATTCATTTATCATTTTTTCTGCACTACGCCTGAGGAAGTGAATTTATTCACAAAAGCTTGTGCTGAATGATTGATTTTAAAGGTCTAAATAAGAGTGTCACCTCTTCTATATTTGTATTGTGATGAGACAGTTCTCTCTGTTAGGTTTTTTTGTGGTTTTTTGGAACTTAATCAAGTATATCAGTAGAGGGTTGCAATCCAACAAAGTGCACTACACATTCTAAACACTCGTATGGCCTGATACTAGATGATACAGTTCCAACAGAAGCATTCCGCTAAAGCAGAACAGAACTGCGAGATTCTTCCCAGACAGCCTCTCAGCCTGCCAAGGGTCCTTACAATTTTCTAAAAATAGAGAAAAGTACCATACTGTAGCATACTGGGCAGGTGACTCCACGCCCTTCCGCTTCTACAATGGAAGACCCATTTGCATGACAAACTTCCTCTGCGTAGTTGCGTAAGATATCAATGTAATGTGCTTATTCCAGATTTTAGAGTGCCCTTCCTCTTTGTCACTATAATTGTTGCCATTTGTTTGCTCTCGCTCTCTCTAGGCTAGCCCATCCAACTGACCAGAGAGAGATCATAAGGCAAACAGAGGCTGCTCCTCCTCCTGATTCCTCTTTACACTGATCATATTCTCAAGTAATTGGTAAATGAGCAGTGGCAGCAAGGTAGAAAAACAGAAAGGCCAGAGGCCATCAGGTGTTGGCAATGGTCCCTCTCCTGGATTGCTGGCAGCTGTCAGGCTAGGAGATCCTCGGCATCAGTCCAGGCACAGGTACAGTAACCATAATAATTCCCCAGAGATCTTCCTTGAAAACAAATTCTACTGAATTTACTGTTGAATAAATATACTTGACATACAAGACATTTTTATATTATTTAATGCACGCAACTCCAGGACAGAACCATCACACATTATAATTCCTGTGGGTTACAAGTATGTTGATGGCAATTCTTCCTTTTCCTCGTCATTCAATCTGATGTGTACAGCATGGATATAATTATGACAACTCTGACCCATTTTCTGTGCAAAGGGGGAAAGGGAAGCAGACATCCTAGAGAGTTTCAGTAAAATGTACAAAGAGCTGCACCCTCTGTCTCGCTCCCTCTCAATGGAAGCTCTTTAGAGTTTTCAGCAACTTAACTATGGGGTTCAAAACAGAAAGTGTAAATGCTATGCAACACAACTTACTTGTGTGGTGAATCATTCTGTTCTGTAGAGGGGATTGTCAAACATTCATCATGGCCATGAAATAAACGTAATACATGTCCACCAAGTAGGTATCCTAAAGAATATTATTTCTCATTAATTTTAGAAAATATTCAAATAGAGAAAGGCTTTGGTATCTTAAAAACCAAAAGTAGATGTATGCATTTAATACATAATTGGCAGCTAGAATACTAAGCAGGGAAGTTTTGGATCAAATATCATAAGGGGAACATAAATCTCCCCTTAGCCATTGGCTGCATTGGGACATCATCATACACCATGCTTTGATGTTGCCAGAATGAGACACACAAACATTAGGCTTATGCATCTCCTGTCTGCTTCTCCTAGTCCACAGAAGAAGCTGTTCAGAATCACTGACTTCCATTTCTAATTAATTGGTGCTCATCCTGGCCAACACGCTGTAATTAATTCACTGTGTTTTATCTGAATAAATAAAGCTGACCTGTTCTGAACAAACTACAGCTAAGATTTCAAACATAATCTTTCAGAAATTAAATGAAAATGGAATGGAAAGCCTCTAGTCTTCTGATTTTGTGTGTTTGTGTGTGTGTCTGTGTGTGAAGGAAGATTGGAGAGGATGTGACTGCAGCTACTTCTATCTTTATCAACAATGGTTTATTGTGAAATATCTACTCTCTCTCTCAGATTTAACCCATAAGGGGAATTATATGTAACTTATTTATAGTACTGTACAGGTTATTAGCATAATGTAAGAAAAACATTTTCAACATTCAACAATGCTATAAAAGTGATAAGTTTTACAGTATTATAAATGGACTGTATATATTCATGGCTAACCAGCAGAGATCTAAGAATTATGCTGTTCAAGGAGAACAAGGAGTATGCTGCAACTACAAAAATATAAAATTCCATTCTAGGGATCATTTTTTAGTTACGTGCTGCCAAGCCAGAACTGACTTGTAATGGCCATAATAGGGCTTTCAAAGAAAGTAGCATATTTGAGGAGTGGTTTTACTAGTTCCACTCTTCCAAGTGAGTTTCCATGGCCGAGTAGGAAGAATTTGAACCCTGATCTCCAGAGTCCTAGTCCATCACTTTATCCACTATACCATGGGTCCCCAACCCCTGGGCCTTGCACAAGGGGCAAAGTTCTACTGAAAATTTGGAAGGCAAAAAACGAAAATAGGAGAGAGAGAAAGGCAATTTTCTTTTCAAAAAGAGTATAATGGAACTCTAAAGTATTAATATTAAAATTCTCAGGATTTTCTATGTAGAATCCTGAGGAATGATTTACTGTTCCTTTCTTTAGACGTTCCTTGGGACTGTGCAGTTTGCCCAAGGCAACACTAGCTGACTCTTTTCCCTGCAGGTATACCGAAGAACTGAACTTCCAACCTCTGTCTTCACAGCCTAACTCAATGAGATAAAACAAGCTGTGGAAAATGAAAACATCTACAATCATTCCTGCTGCACAATAAAAATGATTCAGAAAAACAGAAGTTGTGAATTTGGTAGCAGCATAGTTTTAGTCATCTATATTGCTATTGTTTTAAAAACTATCCAAATTATTGAAATAAAGTGTCAGCAGAGGTCTGGTTGATAGGTTACACTGCTCCTGTTCTGAAAAGCAATAATTTGTACACAAATCAATACCACACAGTAGTAATAGGTGATTGGGAAACTTTGAACAATTGGGCTGTTCTCTAAATTTACATTTTAATGGAAGGCAACTTTCCAGTCCATTTAATACAAAGGGACCAGGACAAATGAAGGTAATTTGTATCTCAGGGGAAAAACAACAATCCAGATAAATAAAGGGGGGGGCAGGCATATTCATCAACATCTCACTGTAAATTGTTTTAAACTTGCTTACTGAATAACCATCAAATTAATATTTATTTGAACATAAACATTACAAAGAAAATCACAATCTAGATATTACTGCCTGCATAATATGGTGCCAATACAAAACAGCTCAAGTAATTCTGGATTCAAGCCAGATTCAAGATATATCTATCAACCATTAGGGGATTTTCAACTGCTTAACGTGCATGACTTCCCCCAGCAAGATCTTAGCAGTGGCTGCTTCAAACAGATTCTCTGAAGCAGACAAAAAAACACAAGCAATCATTTTGAGTCCTCTAGGAATGTGAAAGTAATGCCTTTATTTCACATCACAAAGTAATACGCAAGTGTTCAGGAGGACCACAATTCTTCTTCAGATAGATTATAAGCAAAATGGAGGTAAAATGAGGAGGGGGTATATTGTAAGTCCTCTATCAAGATAGCATAAAGGGAGTATTTTGAAGAATAAGTTATGCTATAATGCCTCTGGTACTCAACAGTCCAGAAAAGCAAGCTAGAATGAACAAGCACTAGCTCCTCTCCTTTTGAAAATACAAAGATTATAATTTTTCAGATTCTGAGAAACAGATTCCCTTGGAATTCTTCACTTCTTGGGTACCACATAAGAAAAGCTGGCTTTGGCACAGTGCCTGCCATGACATCCTGTGTGGGCATTAAAATCATTTGCACACACTGAAAGAAAATGTATATAGAGTATGGATGCACAAAAAATGCAATATAGAAGAAAATGCAATTGGAGAACAGGAGAGGGCTTTTTAAAAATTCTGACAAATAAATGATACCTCCTATTTCTTCACAAAGCATCTCTCTGCTGTTACTTCAATCTTGGCCACAATGTACATATGGATAACAATGTGACCTAGTAACTAGGGATCATGGGGATCATCTATATAACCATGGCCAACAATATTTTCATTGTTACAAAGATTTAAAGAATGTCGATATTTTTTAGAGGTGGAAATTATTGTACAATGCTACAAACTTTACAGTAATTTTAACTGGCATTACACCTCTAATTTAACAAACCTTCTTCAATGCTGCTTCCTGAACAAGTGGGGTGGACATTCCACAGGGTCTGCATAAAGGAAGCATCCACCTGTATGTTTCCATATGCTACAGACAAATGCTGAAACAGAGAGACAAATTGACAAAGAAATATCGATAACATCTGGATTTCTCACATGTGCAAAGTAGAAACTTTGTTGTTTTAAAAAGTCAATCCCTTGTGTGTGTTTTGAGGGTAAGAAACTCATGTGTAGAAGCAGTATTAAACCTCCTTGTTTTTGAGGGTAAGAAATTCATGTGTAGAAGCAGTATTAAACCTCCTTTTTCTCTCATGTCAAAAAGCTGTGCCTCACGAGGTACAAAGCTTGCTCTGATTGTGCTGAATATGTATCTCACATTTGTTTAGTTACTTTCTTAGCTGCCTTCTGTCCCTCCCTTCCTCAAATACTGATATCCTTTATCAGTTTATTTCAACTAGTGGCAAATTTTGGGCCACCCAGATATATGAAATGGTACTCAAAACATGGAATAATTGCCCCCACATTATCTTGTGGGACTTTCTGTGTCAAATATTTTATTGGTAACAAATTTTGGATTAGTTTGGGGTTGGGGGGGCAAGTGTTCTGAGGAATTATACTTGTGTCTCTGGGGACTGCATGAAGTCCACCCCAATCTAAATGTAGCTATTTCAGCTGTTTCCCAGCCCACCTGATCCATCAAACACTTTTCCAGCACTCTTCTTCAAGTCAACTTAGACAGCGCTCACAACATTCAGCCCATGGACCTACCGCAGTGCCTCGGTTTATGAATGCCTTGGTTTACATAATTTTGGTTTACAACAGTAATCCGTTGAAAATAATTACTTTTATTCTTTTTGGTTTGCGAAGAAAGTTTTCCCAGGATGCATTGTGCCTGGAGGTTTGTAGCACCACCCGTTCCTATGGCAATCGACGTTTTGGTTTATTTCCAGATTATGTAACATTCTGGATTACATATTAATTTCGTTAACCGAGGTACTACTGTAGATGTGAACCCCTTATAGTACCGAGGTACTACTGTAGATGTGAACCCCTTATTCTGCCATTGATTTTCCTTTGAAAAAGGAGATGATAGAGGGGCATGAATCCTATTTTAAAGAATTTCTCTCTCATCAGCTTCCCAGAAAAACAATTCTGCTTTAAAGCAAGGCAAATATTCCCTCCCTACATACTTTGTTGTCTTTCTTCTGTACTTTTATTTAAGAGCATTTCTGTTCTTTAAAAAATGGATACAAGAGATAATATATCCACAGTTGCTTTTTTTATCCAAGTGGCAGGTACTCCAATTAATTATAATTAAGAAACAGACACTTTATTTATTTATTAAAACAATTCTGCTTTAAAGCAAGGCAAATATTCCCTCCCTACATACTTTGTTGTCTTTCTTCTGTACTTTTATTTAAGAGCATTTCTGTTCTTTAAAAAATGGATACAAGAGATAATATATCCACAGTTGCTTTTTTTATCCAAGTGGCAGGTACTCCAATTAATTATAATTAAGAAACAGACACTTTATTTATTTATTTTATTTGGGTGGAATAACAAAATTTAAAAACAATAAAACCAATAGCATGTAAAAATCTAAGATGTAAAAATATAGATATTAAAATACAGCAGCAGGGAAAGCCTGCCTAAATAGCCATGTCTTTAGTTTCCTTCTAAATACACCCAGAGAGGGAGTCAGGAAGATCTCTATGGGCAAGTTTTTCCAGAGGCAAGGGGCCACTGCTGAGAAGGCTCCTGTTCTTCATTCTTTCCTTCCGGGCCTCCCTCAGCGTTAGGCCCCTCAACTGCCCGGCCTGGCTAAAACAAATGTCTCTGGTAGAACTGGGTAGGAGAAGGCGCTCTGCCAGATATCAATATCCTAAACCATTTAGGGCTTTGAAATCAGCCCTAGAACTTTGGAATCAGCACGGAAACGAATGGGCAACCAACGCAAGGCAGCCAGCATGGGGGAAATATGTTAGTGCCTCTTCACCCCAGTTAGAAGTCTGGCCACGGCATTTTGTACCATCTGAAGTTTCCGCGTCAATCTGAAAGGCAGACCCACATAGAGAGCATTACAGTAATCTAATCTTGAGACTATGAGTGCATGAACCAAAGTGGTGAGCGCCCCCACATCAAGATAGGGACGCAGCTGAGCAACCCACCAAAGGCGGAAATGTGCGGAACGGACCACTGACGATAGCTGAGTCTCCAAGATGAGAGCTGGGTCCAGATGTACACCCAAGCTGCGAACCTCGCTCTTGGTGGTGTCACCCCCCCAAAAGAGAGTTTCCCAGACCACAGATGTCCGGGGCGCCCACCCAAAGGACCTCCATCTTGCCCGGATTCAGCCACAGTCCATTCTCCTGCATCCATTGCTGAACAGCCCACAGGCAGTGCTCAAGGGACGAAACAGCATCCACTGTTGTTGAAAAGAAGGAAATGTAGAGCTGAGTATCATCAGCGTACTGATGACACGAAGTCCCACATCCCCTGATGCCCCCCCCCAGCGGCCTACCCCCCCAGCGGCCTCATATACATGTTAAACAGCATTGGAGAGATAATTGAGGCCTGCAGGACCCCACAATTGAGACTCCGCGGGGCTGAGAAACTCTCTCCAATCTGCCCACAGGACCCGACAATTGAGACTCCACGGGGTGAGAAACTCTCTCCAATCTGCACTCTCTGGGGATGGTCCTCCAAGAATAAACGGAGCCAGGCCAAAGCCAGGCCACCGATTCGCAACCTGGAGAGCCTCCCCAGGAGGATATCATGGTTGATGATGTCAAAGGCGGCTGAGATATCAAGAAGGACCAACAGAGACATTTTGCCCCTGTCGGCCTCCCTCAGCAGGTCATCAAACAGGGCGATCAATGCTGTTTCCGTGCCATGGCACCGCCTGAAGCCTGACTGGAATGGATCCAGGGCATTGGTTTCATCCAGAAGAGCCTGTAGCTGATCTGCCACCACCCCCTCAACTACCTTGCTAAGGAAAGAAAAATTGGCGACGGGCCTATAATTACCAATATCATCCTCCACCAAGCTCGGTTTCTTCCTAAGAAACCGAGCTTGGTTTGAAAACCACTTGTGGTTTTCAAATATCTGAGCAAAATTGCAAGGACTATTCCACAAAGCTATAGAGTTAGATAATTGATTCATAAGCATATAGGAGCATGACTGGCTTTCCCATAAAACTGAGGTTTGTTCTGCTGCCATGCAATCCAACTGTGTTCTACTGGAAAATTCTGCAGTAGAGTGATGTCCCTAGTAGATTCAGGTGGACAATTTTGTCCCACAGACCTGGCCCATTCCCAAACTGGAACATGAATGGGGTTTTTTGCACATTTGTTTTGTTTCAGGCGAAACAATCTGACACTATGATAAGGCATGGAATATACAGAAGAAAAACACAGTTTATAACTGGAGAAAACTGAAACTGATCAAAATCCCAGTAGAAACATGCATTAAAGCTATAATGAGGCATCTCAAATCCTTACCAGGTATCTTTCAGAAACTAAACTAACCAGGATAAGGTCATCTCCAATTCGTACCTTCTCTCCTTCAGACCTCTGTTTAGAAGCTGGATGTATGGTCCACCAACATGCTTCACCTATAGTATGCATATATGTTTACATCAATTCTAGCAGATTTAAAAAAACAAGTCAGCTTTCTCAGATAATTTTTTAGGATTAGACCTCTTTACAAAATCAAAAGACAAAGAAAAAAGGTCATTTTTTTCATGAAGGTCAAAACTAGTAATGGACCAACTACATAATATATGCTTGCTGTTAACTGGAGTGCAATATGAACGAAGCTGGCGGGGAAGGTCGCCTTCAAATTGTCAGAGCAGGTATACTCTTTTTTCTAGTTACAGACTGCCTAAGGATTTTATATTGAGTTTATTTTCAAAACCCCAACAGCCCTATGGGCCAGTCAACACATTTTCTGTTTCCCATCTCATCATGTGCACTCTGCAATCAAAATGGTTCTTTTCATTGGTACCAGTCTGTCCAAAATATTTCAAACATTGAACAATTGTATCTGGGACTGATAAATAATATGATTAAATGTTTTAACTGTATGGAAGCCAGGTATATTTAAAATGATGATAATTACACTTTCACATATAGTAAGTTTTTTGTTTTCTTTAAAGCTTTCTCTGCATGTCACAAAACCTAAGGAAAACGATATTTTTATGCAAGGATAAAAGCGAGTTCAAAGCGCTCCAATATAAATAATATTCATGCTCAACCTTTTTTTCTGTTCATAAGTACAACAGATACCTAAAGATATAACAGTTGTCAAATTCCTCACTCTTGTCAGTTTCAGCTGTCTAGTCTTGAAAAGGCACATCAACAAAGAATTTTCAAGCCCTGTAGGATTCCTCCTTGTCAAAGAAGAACAAGATAAAAAGTACTTCCCCCCCCCATCAATGTCTGTAACTCACAGAAACTGTTACTGTCTAAAATTCATGTTATTTTCCTTTAAGAAAATTCCTTTAAGAAGGAAAATGCATACACGTTTCAAGCAGGGAATGACTCACTGGCTAAATACCTATTACTTAACACAATCAGTTGCAATTAGAACAGGCCAATCAGTCACATTTACAGAGGCATTGACTCACCAAATCCCCACTAATTCAATGTGTCTACTCTAGCTGCAACTTTACTATGCTAACCAACAGATTTCAGCCACAGAATCCTTGAAATTCAAGGCAACAAAGTCACATCTTTTGTCACTTTTCACAACTTGTCTTAAGTATGACTTGTATTAAAATGTTATTTGTAGAAACTCAATCTGTGAACAAATTTTTTTTTCTTCTGTTGTGGAAAGTGTACATATGTAAAAACTTCCACCTTCACAAGATGAGAAGAACAATTTCACACATCCTCGTTTTCATGTGTGAGGACTAGACAATGTACATTTACATCTCCACTTACCATGTATATATTAATGCTTAATTGAGAAACAGAATTATTTGCTAACCACAGAGCAAGCTTGTGCAATTTGTGGCTCAGATATTGAAGGCAAGCCACCAAACATGCTTTGTATCCTGTGATAAACTAGATGAATTTTTGAACCCTATTTTTTCAGTTTGAGCCATAATTCTATCAGACATTTGAGGGCCAAAACACATGACTGGTTGGTCACATCTTCCTTGGTTTGTCACTGGTTTTGCAATCCTATTACAACCTAATATAAAATGATACATACCTGCTGCATTTTCTTGTAGTCCCACATCAAATGCAAGTTTATCCGTCTGAGATCTTGATGTAGTCAAACATGTCAAATACTGAAAAACACGCTGATGTTAATTGGACCATTGGAAGAGGCAGACAAATTTATATATGTTATAAAGGCTATTAAAAATTATACTTGTGGAAGTGTGCCAGCCATTATATCCAGGCAGCTAGCACTGTGCAGTTCATGTTGTGACCGCACAATCGATTACATGGTTCACATTGCAGCTGTTGCACAACATATCTGCGAAAGTGCTTCATGGATATTACTTCCTCTCTGTTACTTTTTTCCTACCACCTCCACAGCTTCATATTATGCAGGCAGAGCTACCCAATAGGATTTCAGCCATTATAGTCTTGCACCTGAATTCAGTGGATTTACATATTTTAGATGTACACAAGAGGGAAGCCTAGTCTCTTGTTACATATTCATACACAAATATAGACCAAATTGCTCCTGCTCTGAAATTTATAGAGACCTTTGCAAAGAATAGCACTCCCGTGCGTACAAGCCATTACTGCATCAGGATCATTTACTATGAAGAGAATTTAGGAGAAGGTCCTTTTTATTAAATTCAGTTTTTAAAATCATAGTAGTATTGTTAGGAAATTTAAGTCATTTAAACAAATAGACTGTCTCAATGCAGACAACTTTATATAAAATGAAAGTACTAATTGCAAATAGGGCAAATAGGCGACAGATTCCTGTGGCATAAGGCAATTTGATCATACAGTGTCAAGCATGGCCCTGATAGAGAAGTTGTTTATGCCCAAGCATGTGACAAGGGAAGAGAACAGTCAAATTCTCTTTGTAACATAAATGAAACAAACAAAGAGAGGATGTTATTGGAACAGGCGAAGTCGTAAAGAAAAAGGCACTTGTTAAACAATCTTTCTTGTTTACTCTGCCTGGTATGAGACAGATTACACCTGACCCTGTTTTTGCACCTCCATAATGACAAGCAATTGGCTACAACTCAAGAAAACAGCTTACCATTCCGCTGAATGAATGACGAAGCAGTATAGCGTGGCCATACAGCAGTGTTCTGTGACCACCTCCTTGAGCTGCCTGTAGAAAATTATAATCTCAGTACTTACACATTAGAATTCAAAGTTCTTAATTACATTAATTTTTTAAAAAAGAGAATGCACTCACATACACCTGTAAACTATTAAAAGAGAAAACAGAAAGGCGTTCAAGACAGAAATTGGGCACGCCCAACTGATGACACCAAAGGACTTACAAAAGACTTTTACTGTGATCAAATGCTTATAGATGACTATTTACAAATCAATCATGTCAAAGCACCTCATTTTAAATTAATAATGAAATTATACAGAAAAACACGATGAACGAAAGGTTAAACCGCTGTACTGCAGCCAAAACTGTGCTCACGACCTGGGGTTCAATCCCAGGTAGCCGGCTCAAGGTTGACTCAGCCTTCTATCCTTCCGAGGTGGGTAAAATGAGTACCCAGCTCACTGGGGGGGGGGGCAATGTGTAGCCTGCATAATTAACTTGTAAACCACCCAGAGAGTGCTTGAAGCACTATGGGATGGTATATAAGCAGCACGCTTTGCTTTTGCTTTTACTACAATCAAAAAGACAAACTATATTAACAAGGAGTATTCAGAGAAATAATGTAGGTTTTGAAAGCACTTCTTACCTTTCTTATAAACTTTCCAGAAAGCATTAAAAAAATTACAAGAATTAGCTTATAAATAACCATAACAGATACCAATATGCTACTGATGGGATGGGGAATCACTAAGCCTTTGTTATTAATTGTATTCTAAAAAATGATACGTATTTCATTATGAACTATTGCTATCTATATGAGGGAACCAGCGTACTTCAATAAGACCAAGAGAAGAGATGTTTGTGCTGTTAATGAGCTGATCTTAACTAGTTACTAATGACTATAGCACTGTGGAGATCTAAGAAAAGTAAACATCCAGTGAAATGTTGTATGCAGATGTAATTGCAAAGAATATAACTTCAAGTCTTTTTAGACTGTAAATAGACTATGTCCAAAAGTATTATTTTAAACCTTCTTTTCACTTGCAATCAAGAACAATTAAGACTATTTCAGCCTTTAAATTAGAGCTTGAAAGTAGAGTTTTGAAAATTTACTTTTTAGCATAAAATTTTAAGAAATTCAAAAATGAATTTGTTGCTGTTGACATCTAAAAATGAAAATATTTAGCTCACTGGATTAAATTAATAATTCATCACTTACATTGTCTGTAATTTAAGAAAGGGTAAGATTTACAGGACTTCCAATCTCTCTCCTAAACAAACTTTAAAAAGCAATGAAATCATTAACTGGGGATTCTGGGATGGTATATGTCTTAGGTCAAATTACGTTTGGGATTGTCTGCCCTAAAACTCATCTGCAGGGACCCATGCACCAAGACCAAAAACTGAGACCATGCAAATCAATCCTGCGTAATCTTGAATTTTCCAAAAAAATCTACCATAATAGGATAATTTTGTTTCAAATCAGCATAGTAAAGATCATTGTTCAAACTACATTATTTGTGATGTCTTGAAAGCTAGTAGTTTTGAGTTGTGTGACTGCCCCATTGAGGTATGGGATGTGACAGGAAAATGGTTGTTATGACTGAAAGAGCTGAACAAGAATGGGAGCTGAGTTGCTCTCAACACTCACTCACTGTACTGTAATAGTATCCCTAGTACTGGGCTGAAGAATTCGTTGTAATTATGGTCAAAAAGTTACTGCCTCTGTACAGAGAAGTGTCTCACAAGCTTAGGATAACACATCTCCAAGAGGGTTTGGCCATTGTCTGTGCTGACTAGAAACTCTGTAAGGGTGTTTCCATTAAATATGGGATTAAAATATGAAAACCGCAGCATAGAGCCAGTCCTTCATTAGACATACATCTCATGGCTTCTCCCTTCAGGAGAAGGGGTGGATATACCATATTTTTCCATGTATAAGATGCGGAGAAGGGGTGGGTATACCATATTTTTCCATGTATAAGATGCCCCCCACTTTTCTAACCAAAAATTAAGAAATCTAAGTGGGGCTTAGCAAGTGTAGGGAGAAAGGGATCAAAGCCCTGCAGGATCACTTTGATCCCTCCTTTTTCCCTCTGTGCTAAGCCACGCGGGGTGGGGGAAAGGGATCAATGCAATCCCGCGACTGCATGATCATTTTGATCCCTTTCCCCCTTAAACAGCCATGGGATTGCTTTGATCCTTTCCCCCTACACTTGCTAAGCCTCATGGGACTTAGTAAGCAGAGGGGAACACAAGGATTGAAGCCATTCTGCAGCGCTTTGATCCCTGCTCGCAAGGATTGAAGCCATCCTGCAGCACTTTGATCCCTGCTTTCCTTTTGCTAAGGCTTAGCAAGTGGAGGGGAAAGCAGGGATCAAAGCCCTGCAGGATCACTTTGATCCCTACTTTCCCCTTCACTTGTTTTTTTTCTTTCCTCAGCTTACTTCTGTGTATAAGACAACCCTCAATTTTTATTCTAAAGATTTTAGACAAAAGTATAATCTTATACATGGAAAAATACAGTATATGTGTACCATCTCAAAGGATATAGCAATTTAAAAGGATATTAAACAATGTAAAGCATTGTGACATTACTTGTTGAAAATTATATTTATTGGTGGCTTGCCTGGCCAGGAAAGTAATGAATTTAACATTAACACTCTTAAATTAAGTATGCAAAAAATAAACTAACCTATATATTATGTATCGTCTCATGGGCTCATCTTTTATAAATATAATAGGACCACCATATACATGGGATCAGTACCTATGGTTAAAGTTACTCACTGCCTGAAAACATTTTTTAAAGATCCCCAGAAATATGCATTTCTAAGGTGTATTACCAGAACTGGCCACTAGAAGGAACCAGAGACTGTGTGATATATAGGGTTTGCACATCAATGGTTTCAGGCATCCACTGGGGGTGGGTTCTTAAAATCAATCCCCTGCAGATACCGCGATTCTACTGCACTTCCCTTCCCCTGCTCTGATCTTCTCTTCTCTGTCCTCAGGAATAATCTGTGTACTGATATGGGCATAAGTGAGGAGTATATAGAGACCTTCATGGAATATAAACTGTTGTCCAGAAAAATATTCTAATCATATAACAGATTCATAGCGGAAAACCAAGCTGACAATATGCTCAAGTGGACTGGCACCTCTTTCTATAAGTCTTCATTGAGGTACATGCAAATGGTTTCATATAATGTCCACAAGCTCCAGAATCCAGGGTTGGGGACCACTGATATAACAGATTCACAGCAGAAAACCAAGCTGACAGTATGCTCAAGTGAACTGGCACCTCTTTCTTCATTGAGGTACATGCAAAAGGTTTCATATAATGTCCACAAGCTCCAGAAAGCATTCAGGTTAGATACTTCCTTCTCCTCATCCCTCCATCCAGTGGTGTCTCATGGATTGAACAGAGTGGGCACTTGACCCTGAAATTATGGGATGAAGTGCCTTTCTGCTCTTTTCACCTCATCCCTTCCTCCCGAGCATTCAAGGCTCACATTTTTAAGCCAAGTCCTTGGCAAAGGCTCCAAATAAAACAAATCATGTTTGTGTTTTTACAAACCATTCCAAAATTCAATCACCCCTGGGGCACAGAGGACAAAGTGTGTCCTGACAGCTCTTACAAGTAGCAATCAGTATCAAACTTATGGGTTAGGCACATATGCTTATGTTATAAAAACACTTGGCCTTCTTCCGGAGGGTCAAGAAAATTTCACCTTCTGCTTCTACACTTGCCAATTCTTGTATTGAATCACTGACATACAAGATGTTGAACATGCTTTCCAAACACAGATATGGCTACAAGTGCATACAGTCCCGGCCTAGCCCTGAAATTATTCACTTCACTGATAAAATGACCCTACATAAGATAATATGAACTACATTGCTATGATTTGGGCGGGGGGGGGGAATGAACAGAAACAAACCATTTGGAGTAAAGTACAATTTAATAACCATCTGCATCACAAGTTACTGATTAACATCTACAGCCTTTATAGAGATGAAGATGGTTTTATTTCCACTACAGGCCAGGATAATCTGTAATAGCAACCACAGCACTACAAAGCACAACCTATATTACTGCAGCTTCTGAATCACTTTACAATCCATTCCTCTTTCTGTTATGTTTCACATGCAGATATTTCGAGAACTACCCTCAAATGGATTCATAGCTAAATTTCTGTTTGTTCATTGCTTACCTCCAAATCTGTAAATGCATTTCTAATTCTAAATACAGCCATTGTACTCTTGTAATAAGAGCAGGCATACATATAAACTTGTTCAGGCATACATATAAATTGTCACTTACTACATCTTCAGGTGGTGACTTGCATTGTCAAAAAGCCACCAAGGAATGCAGGTGAAACTTTCACATCATTGAGCATTACATAAAGTTAAGCTGGTGCAACTTTGCTGGGCATTACGCCCAGCCAATGCAGATTGTGCAATTCAATAGCACAATTGGCCATGTGTTTTCTGATTGCACAATGCCCTGGTAGAAGTGCTTTGTGGACAGCACTTATGCCTTGGCACTATTGCTGTCACCATGAATGTCACACAATAAAAGCAGAACACAGTGACACCCAATGAAGGGTACAATCAGACAAAGAAACAATTTACATTTTGGACCGCTTGGGCCAGTGTAAGTATTCACATAGGAAGTCATCACAGCAGCCTTGCTCCATGCTCAAGCTGAACTTTTGTGAGGGGGCAGGCGGGAGTGATTTCTCTAGAACCTACAGAAGCGTCACTTTAAGAGAGATCACTCCTGGCTAATCGGTCCTTTCCAGGGTGATCAGACATCATCATTTCTCACAACTGAAGTTAACCCTATGAAATCCAGGACAGAGGAAAAGGAAGTATTTCCCCAGATATATTTGAGCCTCTGCATCTCTTCCTTTAGAAATGAAGAGCTTTGCCTCAGAAACACTGCTGTATTGCTGCATTAAACATTTTTACCATTCCAGCAGCTCAACCCACAATAAATAACAGCTGTGCTTGTTTGTTTCATACAGAACTAGAAGCAACAGTGAATAAGAGGAAGGCACAGTTGACCAGAAAATTAATTTTTAATTAAAACGATCAGCTGCAATGTCTACAGAGAATAAGTTGTAAATCTTTTTTTTTCCTTCAGGAATTTGAATCCTGCTTACACTGACATTTGTCTCCTTAGAGGGTAGGTTTTTAAGTAATCACTAATTTTCCAGTGGAATGGGAGGATAAATTTACGCAGTAGAGAAATTTAGTATGACACAAAAACCTGAAGCTCAATGCTCTACTGATTGGTCTTTTAAGATTACTTTGTGTGGGATTTATGACAACAAAGAATGAAGAGGTTGTGTCAGGATTCTTTACAGGAATCAGCAAGACCAAACCACTTTGTGGAGGGCAGTACAGAGCCCTCCAACTTCATCCTATATAAGCAACCTCATGAAGATGCTATGTTAATTTTGACATCAGATTTTTCAACAGTTTTAAAATCATAAAACAGCCCTATTGGACTTCACCACACTTCAAAAGATCCCTTATATTCTTTTCCAGTTTTGTGTCACATAACATTTTGTCTGAAGAAGTGTTGTACAATGATTGCTGACAACCTTTCAACTTTTTTACTGGCCCTACTAAGTTTATCATCTTGTTTTGTTTCCCCCACACACTATAATAGACAGAATTGCACCCATTTTATATGCAGATTAAATAACTTTGGCTAGTTAGATAGTTCAGTAAGTGAGGCATCTGGCTAAGGAACCAGAGGTTGGGAGCTTGACTCCTCACTGTGCCTTCTAGAAGAGCCAGCCAGTGTAGCCTTGGGCAAGCTGCACAGTCCCAGGGTGGCATCAGAAGAAGGGAATAGCAAGGCACTTCTCTGTAAAGTACCTGGAAAACTATGAAAAGGGTCATCATACAGAAGAATTGACTTGAAAACACATTATTTTTATTATTAGAATGATTAATTCATCTTAATCATTCTTAAAAAGTGTCTGTTCTTCTTCATCACGGTATTGTAAGCCGCCCTGAGTAGACATTGTCAAGAGGGGTGGGATAGAAATTAAATACATAAATAAATAAAATATTATTAACAATCACTCCTTCTAGCACAAAAAAGTCAATATGACGTGAAGTGCGTTTTCATCAACATTGCATTTCACACATAGATTTTGATTATATGAATCTTGCCAATACCACTAGCTTATACTGTTCCTAGGAACAACTTCCCTGCTTATTGTTGCTCACACGTTATATCCAGCTTATACAGAATTCAGAGGCTGGCCGTTCTTGACCGTGCATATCACACAGAGAAGCAGCCCTAACAGCCTCCAAGATGTGTCCTAATTTAACTGTACAAACATATCATCTCCATTCCAGAGAAAGTTAGCAATGGAACCCTCGGGCATAGCGGTTAAACTGCATTACTGCAGTCAAGCCTCTGCTCACAATCTGAATTAAACCCCATGGGTTCAGATAGCTGGCTCAAGGTTGACTCAACCTTCCATCCTTCCAAGATCAGTAAAATGAGTTACCCCATGTAGAGAATGGGGGCAAGTTGCTGTTTGCATAATTATGTTGTAAACTACCCAGAGAGTGCTCTACCACTATGCGACAACGATATAGTATGTCAAAAGCAACAACAACTCACTGTTCAGAATGTTAATTGTTCTTGTCTAACACATTTTCTGGTTGATTCCCTCAAACTGCCATGATCCAGCTAATGCTAGGGCACAAATGCATAGATATAGGGTACAAATACCCTTAAGTATCACCTACAAATGAACGTCTTTTCTTTCTCTCTTGTAATAGGGTTGCAGCAATGGCAGAGATCATCCTAGATCATCAGGGCCCGTTATCACACATACTTTTAATGTTTCATCTCAATCAACATAAGCAGCTACCACGATCAAACATGATGTAACCAGCCAATTGATTTTCTTTATGTTTTCACTATTTCCACTAAAATCATCATCATCTTTGATGCCTTGAAAATAGCCCAAATTCAGGGCTAAAAAAACTGAATGGTCTCAACTTTATCTAGGGTGGGCAAATTTTGTGACACTGGATTTTTAGACGAGATCTCAGAATTCCTTCTCGCTTGGTCATAATGGATGAAGCTTAAGGGAAGGTGAAGACAAAAACACCTGAACACTCAAAAATTATTCACTGATGTATAAGAATTGTGCATACATGTCAAAAGAAAACAGTAGTTGTACAGTTGTTGCCAACAATAGTTGTTAATAACTATACAGAAAAGAAAATTTGAATATACTGTATCTTCTAATGCTCTTTTCTGCACTAATTAGAGGTAAAGAAGAGTAGTATAGGGGAAGCCCTCTTCTCTTTTACATCTGTCCTCCCACCACTAGAAAATTCTTAGTGCTATCACTCTAGCTTCTGTGGTGCCATATATTCCTTCAAAACTGTCTTCATGGCATTAACCTAATAACACTTTTTTAAAAATTAAAGCTGAGACTTTCACAGCAGAATATGCAAATCCTTATTTCAGTGCACTATAATTAACACTTCTTCTAAAAGTACACTTTGGTAGTGAGTGTCGAAAAAAGCAGATCCAAATCAAGATTATTAAGAAACAATAAAGATGTACCAGGGCTCAAGGCTGTTTATGTTGGAGTTTGTAGAACATTTTTTTAAAATAATAATAATAACTAAGGGGAAAATATTGAGCTTGTTCAGTAGTCACAGAATGTTGTTTCAACAGGAAATAAAAAATGGAAATCTGGGGAGAGGAACAGGAGAATGGACTGCCCTTGCGTGAGTTTGCTACATTACAGGACAGCATGAGTGGTTTGCTAGAACATGAGTACTCCTAGTAGGAGGAAGTGATAAACTGCAACATTTCATTACAGGTCCTATTTATGGTTCCATAAAAGTATTTGTTTTCAAGGCAAGTTAAAGAAATCTGTGTATTCAAAGATGTTGTGCCAGATTTTCAGTCCCCTATGTCTTGGGCTGCACATTCTATGCAATTCACATTTGTCAGGGAGTAAATCACATGGAAATAAATAGCATTTACTGTACTTCTTAGTAAACCCATTTATGAAATATAGTTAAGGAAGACTAGTAATCCATCAAATATTTCTTGACAATTATTTCAAACAACAATTAGAACAGAAGAAAGTTTGGTAATAACCAATCTTTTTTGGCTGATGATTAGTCCTGATGTTTTATGGGCCCAATAAAACACACACACAAAAACAGCATACAAAATGAAATCACAGACAAACAAAAAGTTTTAATTTATCACAAATACAAAATGGAGTGAGTTTCATGCAGTGGCTGATGATTAGACAAACGAACAAGGAACATACCCATTCGGAGAGATCTCTAGGCTAGCAAAGTCGAAAACAAAACAGTATATGAAAATTTAGTGTCACACATGATTTGTATTTGTGTGTGTGCGTTTCAGTGAACAAATAGATACATAAAACATGAAGTCAATGATATTAGACAAATAAATATACAGTTTAAGTGGTGAGCAAATATATTTTAATGTGCCCTGTACTCACTTTCCAGGAAGTAAGCCCAACTGAGTTAACAGTTGGATCTACTTCTGACTGTAAATATATAGGATATACAATTAAAACAAAAAAATCAGGGTAAGCACAAACCATCAGGAACATTTATTGCACAAACATCCCCCCACCAGCCAAAATGAATCAGATCTGTACAGAATGTACAGTAGATACAATTGCAGTGGGGCTCGCACAGCTGGACTGCACTAACTCTGTTTAACTTTCATTGCCTTTGAATACCAATATTCCCAAGAAACTGACAAGTATGCAGCATGCTAAATATAAAATTGACCTGCAGGGAATAGTAAATTACTGCCACAGTACTGCAGCAGCTTTACATAATCACATTTATGAGACCAAGGAAAGTGGTCAGCATATAAGTTAGCTGCTCTTGCTTTCACCACAAAACCCCACCAGGACACTTTAGCTGGCTCATTTATTACTACTCTTCTTCAAGTGGCTTTCCCTTACAAAATGGGTCCTCAGGTTAATTTGCCTCTTTTGTTTTCTTACAAAGAATATAAACATTAGTGTTGATCGACATTATCAAGTGGGCCTTTTGTTTGACAATTGTTTTTATAAATGTGGCATGCTAATCATGACACTTGTCTATAAAAATAAGAAATAACACACATACACATGCAAGATATAACACCCCACAGGCAATGGATCCAGTCCAAAGATCTTTATACAGCTTAACAATTACAGGCCTCTTGTTTTTACAAGGGCCTACTGTTAATACCTGATAAACAGATGGTTCCTGCTGCTTGCTTTACAGAGCTGATCATTTTATGTGGGGCCAGTTGGTGGGGAAGGGGGGCTGACTTTAATCACTGTTGATTAAAATCAGAATTAAACAACTGGCAGTCCTGACCTGGAATGTTCAGCACCTCTCATTATAGACAGATGCCCCACATCTTCCAAGTATAGAGGTTAATATTTTTTTTTTGCAAATATTTTACCCCACCTTTTCCACACAAAGTATACAAGACAATTTAATATCCATTTGAACAAACAGCTAACATCAAGAGTGTTTTCTATTTAAAAAAGTAACATTGCTATGATTAGATGAAACATAGCAGAATCGCCAGCATGAAAGCAAAACGGTTTAGGGTCTTGATACTTGGCAGAACGCCTACTCCCACCAAGATCTACCCGTGTCACATGTGCAAGCCAGGAGGTGAGGTTGAGGAGCCTAACGCCGAGGGAGGCCTGGAAGGAAAAGACAAGAAATCGGGCCTTCTTGGCGGTGGCTCCTCGCCTCTGGAACAACATACCTCCTGAGATTCGTGCGGCTCCCTCGCTGGGTATCTTTAAAAATCAATTTAAAACATGGATGTTTTGGCAGGCCTTCCCTCCAGACAATTCCTGATGCCCTCTTCTTTTTCCTCTCTAACATCTGTTCCTTTTCTGTGCAAATGTTTTTATGTTTTCACCATGTATAAATTTGTTTTAGATATTTATTGTCTATTTTATGTTGTTAGCCGCCTAGAGTGGTCCTAACCCGACCAGATAGGCGGGATATAAATAAATAAATAAATAAATAAATAAATAAATAAATAAATAAATAAATAAATAAATAAATACAAAAGGCTCAAACTTTTTTTTAAAAAAAGAAGTCTTCCTAAAAGGATTAGGCAGCAAGCAAAAAACAAACACACAAGAGAGAGAGAGAGAGAGAGGAGATGGGACCATGTGTTCTCTTGGATACCATACCAAGTCCTTGACCTTGGTTTCCACTCAGCAAGTTTCTAAAGATGGGAGGGCCTGGAAGACCACTTTAGGTGAGGACTGAAGTAGACGGACTCTCTGCACATTTCTTTGCATGAAGGGATGCAAACATTTCAATGAGACATCTCTCTGTGCTTTTGTTTCTAACACTCAAATCAGAGTATTCAGCTCTGCTCTTCATTTTATAATTCAGAGATAATCTGTGAGCAGCATTCCATTGCCTGAGATTTTAGAATAGAGAGGGGGACCGTAATGTCACAGAGGAAGGACGGGCAAGGGTCAGAAGTAGGAAGTTTTTTCCTAGACTTTCCACCTCTGCTGCCAGAACATGTGCAACAAGAAGGCTTCTAAGACATGACACTGATTTGTTCCATATGGCACACTGGGCTCAAAGTCACCATGCCAAAAATCTGGAAGCAATGGGGAGATGGGACTCGGAAGAAAGCTTGTGCATGTACACACATGGACCCACCATGCCATTTTAAGAAAGTGATACACAAACACCTGATGGTGACCTAGGTAGCCCTGGAGCCAAGAGGGAATAGTCATGATTCTAAAGACACTTTAAAGATAAAATGTCAAACTCCTCCTTCTCTAGTGCTGCTCACTTTGAGATTTTGTCTTCCCATATACAGACCCAGAGAAGCACATAAGCTCCCTGAGATTTCCACCTGCACTCTGGCAATCCTAGACAAAAGTCAATAAAACTGTGCACTGTATGGACTTCTTCATGCTGCACATAATGAAAATGCATAAAATGTTACAAGGCTTAGACATGACTGTCCATTTAGATAGATCTAAAGGAAGTTTGACAAATTTATGGAAGTTAAGGTTATCAACACACAGTAAGAAGTACTCTTCATGCCGCACATAATTAAAATGCATAAAATGTTACAAGGGTTAGACATGACTGTCCATTTAGACAGATCTCAAGGAAGTTTGACAAATCTATGGAAGTTAAGGTTATCAACACACAGTAGTCATAATTGAATAATGCTGGTTTAAGTACCGATTCTGGGGAACATCCATATGTGGGTACAAATGTGCTATGTGAAGTTCCCATAAGGCTAGGAACGGGCGTATGTGTCCCATGAGCCATGTGCAGCTCCAGAGCCAAACACAGCTCCCTGGGGTCCACAGAACCAAAAAGTATTTCCTTTAAAAAAAGGGGGGGACTCCCCAAATTCCCTTGTGCTTCCCAGGTGGCATTGGGTCATTGTTGCTTGTTTTAACATCCCACCAGCACCTTACTGCAATTCAAGGTCACTAGAGGATGGAAAAGGCCACTTTCTATTTTTTTTTAAAAAAAAAATTCATGTTAGTAGGAAATATCTGAAGAAATTGAAGAGCACGTATGTGAAATCCCAGACTTCTGGAGACTGATCCCCTGCCACAGGTGTTTGGTTGATCAAAGTGCAAAAAGACTACAGAACTACATGAGCCTTTGCTCTGGTCAAGCTTCACTACCTTATCTTCTATATATAATATGTTTTATGAGCTGGTCACTTGACCGTAATAAATAAATTCATTCATTCACCTTATATTCTAATGTACTTGTAAAGGTATTTCTTTAAGCATTTTACTGAATAAGCACAATATGGATAAATATATTATTCTGGCATGTTTTCATGACATGAAGACATAACCCATCTTCCATGTTACCTTGGTGCAAGAACAGAAAGCAATGTAAAGCATGTTAGCCACACCACACTCATAGCTTAACTCAGAGAGCCTGCCACGATAGAAAGAGAAAACAGGTGCACAAATAAGCAATATGCTTCTTTCAGCTTTTCTGCTGGAAGAGGCAAAATAGAAACACATAAATGTCACTGCCCATAACAGCTCTCCAGAGCTGTTAAGAAATGGTACTTGTTCATGATCACTTTCACTGGTACAGGGAAATGAGAAGGTAAACACTAGAGACACTCCTGTAATAGTTTTTTTACAGAAGTATTTCTCTAGACGCTGCCTTTCCTAGAACAGAGACCCAATGCAGCTTATGATATAGTTAAAACACAATTTTAATTGAAATATAGTAAATTACAAATTTTTAAATTGAATTAAACTAAATATTACTACAATATAATCAAAATGAGAACAATTTAAATCTTAATTAAAATACTAATGGTAAGTTAGTAAACAAAAGATGGGGAAGAACAACCACATCAGGTAAAACTTTGAATCAATGCATTGCCTAAATAAAAAGGTATTTGCCGGCTAGCAGGACAGGAAGGAGGGGACACATTTAGCCTTTCTTACATAGAGTTCCAGAGTCTGGAAGCAACCACAAAGGGGACTCCCCTCTAGAAAGTACTAACAGGCTTCAGGATGGGAAAGAGTAAAAAGGCCAACTGTACTTTCTCAGAAGCATGATCAGGCCAAACCACAACAGAAGTGTGGGGAGTCAAGAGTGCCAAGCGTGGTCGTTCACTGCCAATGGTGCAGCAGAGGCAGCCCCTAGGTGTCGGGAAGCTGCCTCCCCTCCATAGTTCTCCAAATCTTAAGGGCTGCATGTGGCCTCTGAGATGCAATACGTCCATGCTTGTTCTGGTCTATAAAAATTACTGTTTTAGTTCTAGATAAAACGTCCACATGGGTGTGATCTAAAAACACCACAAATGGAAACCCATCTCACTTCAGCTGTTTTGAAATTAGAGGTGACTGCATGGGGGGGGGAAGGGGGAGAGATCTCATCCGTGAATGCCAGAAGAGAGATTGTTAGCAATACTGTAGAAATAGAAGGCTTTAGTGCCATTTTTAAGGGACAGAAGGATACACTTAATTCTATTTACCATTCTTTATATTTTATTTATTTTGCTTAATTTATAAATGATTTCGTTTACTAATTATTTCATTTTATTTAATTAATGGTATAGTTTGCTGTGACAAACTTATCACAATACTTTAGAGCAGCCATTCTCAACAGAGGCCATATGGCCCCCTGGTACAGTGGAACATTTGAAAGGGGGCCACACACCACCTTATACAGTGATACATTTGAAAGGGGGCCACACACCACCTTACAGTATAAGGTTCATTATGCAACTTATGCCATTCTGATTTGGCCTATATATTTCTTTTATCTTGTGTTTATGGCCCTGGCCCAAAAAGGTTGATAGTGGCTGTTTTAGAAACTGCTTGATTTTACTTCTTTTAATGATTATGTTTATTTTAATTTATTTTACTGATTCTATGGCTGAATTTGTTTTCCCTTGCTCTTTTTATACTCTACAACAATTGTGCCTTTCGTACTATCTAATAGCAGATATATGGGGTAGAAGTGTAATAAATAATAGCAGTAATACCAGTAATGCCACCATTTACAGTCCTATGTCAGATTATTTCAGATAGTTGTTCACTATCAAGGAGCAACTTCCCTGCCATGTAGCAATGAAGCGGCCATCATGCCAGTTCCTTTTCTATAGTCAGCCCTGCAAATGGAATCCAGTTGAACTTGTGCTATGGTAATTGCAACATTATATGGATTTGCAATCTTTTGTGTGCAAATATAGTCGAGTCAGAGCTGGGCCCTTTCTGAAAGCCCCCTGGATGATACCTTAGGCTCTTTGCAGAAAGCATGGGATACACCATACATTACCATTCAGATAAGCCTGTGGTATTTCTTACAGCAACAATTATTTTCCATCACAAAGAAATAGCATATGACCCAAGTAGGCTACTGTCAAATAAATGCCACTTTCCCATTTAAAAGTAATTCCCTTTGGGCTTTCTCGCCCAAGGAAACTCTTATGGTCTACTTGTTGTTTTACATACAATTTCTTTCCGAGCACTGCACTTCCTTTCTGCTGTTGTTGACAACAACAACAACAACAACAACAA